AAAAAAAAAAAAAAAACCGCTCAGGACTCTGTGGTGTTACAAATTACAAATTCAATCTCTTTCATTGGAGAACGATCTAAGATGCTCACTTGCATGAGTTTACTGCATGAGGTCAGATAATAAATATTCCTGTAAGCATTTACTTCATTAATAAAACAGTATTTGCTGTAGTGTAAGAACATTGATATGAAAGCCCTTTGAAATGTACACCAAACAAAGAAGCAATGGTTTTATTTCTTACATTCCTTATTTGGGAAATAAAATATATTTCATATATTTCTTATTTTATACCTTCTATGGTGTCTAACACAGCGTTAAGGACCCAGACGTGTATAGTTAAGTGTTTGCGAAGATTACATTCAACTCAATCTCATTTGTAGACCTCATTAAATGTACTCTCTACGTTTTCAAACAAATAACATAAAACAGGTACAAGGTTAAGCATTTTCATATATATTATCTTATTTAACCCTTGGGGGCCACTGCGTTATATCCCTGGCTAGCCATTCCTCTTTAAAACGGATGCATGAGGGTACAATTCTCTCTTTGTTTGTGTACATGCAACTTTGCCAAAAGAAGGGATGATCCTGAGAAACATAGTAGCCAACAAACTAGCCAGGCTGGGACACGGACGAGCAGTGAAAATCTCTCTGGCAGGAAGGCTAGCTAAGGAAAGCTGGTGCAGTGATACAGCTGTTTCCTATTCTGTTCTAGTATTTCACAACTACCTCTAATACATCCCTTTGCCATTCATTGTACTTTTTGGTTCCATCTTTGAGACTTTGAAATATTTGTCACCTTCATAAAGGTCCTAACCATTCTTCAACCAATTTTACCCCTTAGTAAGATTATATCAAATACACAAAAAATTTTAAAATAGCAACAACAAACTTAGTCAAGGAAGCCTTCCTGCCAAGGATGCCTGCAAGCCCAGCACTTGGGAGACTGAAGCAGGAGGATCACTGTGAGTTTGAGGCCAGCCTGGGTTACACAGCAAGACAGTCTCAAAAAAGAGCCTTCCTGACTCTTCACATTGCCTTTTTTGGTTTTGGGGGTTTTTTTGGTTTGGTTTGGTTTTTTTGAGATAGGGTTTTCCTGGTAGCCCAGGCTGGCCTTGAACTCGCAGTGATCCTCCTGCCTCAGCCTCCTGAGTGATAGACAGGATTATAGGCATGTGCTGTCACATGTGGCCTGACTCTTCATACTGAAAGAGGCCTTTGGCTTTCTCTCATGGGGCCTATGTTTTTTGTCTTGTTTTGTTTTGTTTTCCAGTTCTGGGAATCAAACTTACAACCTTGCGCTTGCTAGGCAGGCGCTGTGCCACTGAGCTAAATCCCCAGGCCTCTAATTTTTTTGGGATTTTTTCTGGTACCGGGAATCGAACTCACGACCTTGCACTTGCCAGGCAGGCACTGTGCCGCTGAGCTAAATCCCCAGCTCCTCATGGGGCCTACATTATGCTTCGTGGGAGGGCTCATGAACACCGACTTATCTCACCACTCCCCAGACTGTCTCAGTCCCCTCCAGCTTCTCTCCACTTCCTAACATCACCTTGCATTTCACTGGTTCCTTATTAATATATGCGCCTTAACGGAAGGGGGGCTGCGGGGGCGGCGCACTGAGCTAGATGACCTCTAAGACCCTCCCAGCTCTAAAATTCTATATACTAACAGCTCCTGGTTGGTCAACACACCTCTCCGTGTCACACAAGAAGGATCGAGTGAGGGAAGATACAAGCAGTCTTCCATCCAAATAATCTAGCTGGACAACACAGGAGTCCACTGTTATTATTGTCTGAACAGGAAACATCACAAAGGCAGCAGCTGCCTAGAAGGGACACAAGAAGAAAATGAAGAGTTTCCCATTAAAATATGAACACACAGATCCCACGGCCTCCTCGCCACTTTGTTTTGGAGCTGAGTTCCACTACCCAGCCCCGACCGGCCTCAGACTCTTCATCCTCTCATCTCAGCCTCTCGAGCCACAGTTACAGCACCGGCTCCTCATCATCTTTTACGTGAAAAGAACTCGGACAGCAAAATAAACTTCTAAAATACGCCAAAATTAAATTTGTCTACAAGAATATAAAAGTGTCACTCATTTAAAGTTTTCTAAAATACTTTCATAAGTAACTTCATCACTATTTCTTTTTTTTTTTTTTTTTGTACCAAGAATCGAACTCAGGACCTTGCACTTGCCAGGCAGGCACTTGCACCACTGAGCTATATCCCTGGCACATAACTTCATAACTATTTCTGACTATCAGTCTTAGAGGCTCCAGTGAAAGACATGAAGACATTTTGGAAATGCGATGGTGTTTTTCATCTCTAGACAGTACTTCTCTCTTTGGGAAAAAGACCAATCAAACCTATGCCATGCGTAGAGATTTAATTGGCTTTTTTGGTTTTTGTGTTTTTGAGACAAGGTCTCACTATGTAGTTCTCACTATGTAGTTCAGACTGTACTAGAACTCACTGTGTAGCCTAGGCCAACCTTGAATCACAGTGATCCTCCTGCCTCTGCCTTCCCAAGTGCTGGGATTACAGGCATGTATCACCACACCCAGTTTAATTGTATTTTAGATCAAAAATACATTAGGAATCAAATGGGAATGTTGATGGATCATGACGGGCATGCTAGAATATTCTGATGTGTTCATTAAAATAGGTATATTAGCCAATAATATTTAGACTTCCTTTTTTCTGCCAGGATTCTACATGGAAATAAGCCAGTGAGACATAAATTTGCCATTTCTCATCATATAGTAGCCTTGGAGGACTTTCTTTGGCCTCAGACCAGAGCATTCTGTTAGGACAACCTGCGTCTCCAACCTTCTAGCAGTAACTGTGGTGGGAGTACGAGGGCCCTGCACAGCTGAGCCCAAGCCAGGTCCCTTTATGTTGCACTCCAATTAGTACACCCATCCTAAGAGAAAATATCCCTATCCCTATGAGTTTTTCTACACAGGAGCCAGTAGAATAAAAACACAGAAATTGGTGCCATTTCTATATTTTGCCTTTTTTAAAAAAGGCAAAGGCCGCTATGCGGGCCTTTTGAGGCGGGCCTTGAACTCACTTTGTAGCCTAGGCTGGTCTCGAACTCGCAATGATCCTCCTGCTTCAGCCTCCCATGTGCTGGGATTACAGGCATGTGCCACCACGCCGGGCTTTGTTTTGTTTTTGAGACAAGGTCTTACTGTATAGTTCAGGCTGGCCTTGAACTCATTATGTGGCCCAGGCTGACCTCAAACTCACAGTGATCTTCCTACCTCAGCCTCACAGAGTACTGGGATTACAGGCATGCGCCACCACACCTGGACCCATTTCTGTATTTGTCTTTTTTTTTTTTTTTTTGGTACCAGGAATTGAACTCAGGACCTTGCACCTGTCAGGCAGGCACTATGCTTCTGAGCTACATCCCCAGCCTTTTGTCATTTTATTTACACAAATAGTGAGCAGATATCTTTTCTTTGTTAATAGCTCTGTATTAAAAAATATTTTATTTACATGAGCCTTATAGGTAAATTAGGAAGTACCACAACAATGTGCAAGTAATTGAAGTTAGTTCATAGAAGCCATTCTGCAATGGTCTCAAACTAAAATAGGCTACCAAATGTACTACAAACAAGTCTTAAAATCTCTCTTGACTTTAATTAGTCCCCAGTAGCTAAAACTGCATCTTTTAATTCCAACTTCTGTAACACACCTTATATCTCACCACATTCACGAAGGACTGGAGTGGTTCTCACCTTTGCTTGTTTAGAAGTGTTGAGCTTGATGGCAGAAACTTTCCCCACATGGTCACCTACAAACACTCTAAGAATCACTGTATCCCAGCAGAGAGCCGTAACTTTTCGGCCTTTGTGTTCCGAAGACACATAAATTCGTTCTGGTTTCCCACGATGCTCTTGATTTAATTCCCAGACAACTACAAGACCTTGACTATAAGAGTTCAGTCACAAAAGCAAATTTAAAAACAAAAAGCAAATTTCTGGCAGTGGTGAAACAGATAAAATGTAATGGTATAACATCAACTACATTATGCATATATGCAAACACTTTCTCTTTAGAAAAAGAGGAAGTGAAAGTATTAATTTCCTTACTCTAGTCACCAAACCAGTGTAATAGGAGAACTTAATGTTCCAAATTATCTCTGTTCCCTTTCTTTTTTAAGGACTTTGAAATACTGTGGCCTCAAATTAGCATTTTTCACAAACACGAGGGTAACCAGCTGCCCATACTGTATGGCCGGGTACTGAGAGACTTCCCAGGACACAGGACCTTCAGTGCAAGCACAGGGACAGTACTAGGCAAATCGAGGTGACTGGCCACCCTGACAAACACACTGGCCAGTTGAAAATGTCCTTAGAGCCAGGCGTGGTGGCACACGCCTGTAATCCCAGCACTTAGGAGACTGAGGCAGAAGGATCGCTGTGCGTTCAAGGCCAGCCTGGGCTACAAAGTGAGCTCAAGGCCAGCCTGAACCGCATAGTGAAACCCTGTCTCAAAAAGAAGAAGAAAATGTCCTTAGAAGAGATCAGGTAGCTTTAAAACTGTTTCTCACCTGGTAGCTACAGCAACGTAATCATCATCATGTGAACAACAGGCAACCTGAGAAATTGCACCTTCCTGGGGCACACAAGGAAGAATGCTTTTAGAATCTTAAGTTTTACATTGCTCTTTTATTCTTAATGATGAATTACACTGGAGAAACTTGTATTTACAAAAGAGACTCAGCTTCGTGTGACCGGGCTCCCATTGATCTTACCCGGTGGGACAGAAACAGCCTGTGCTTCCAGCCTTCTCTCTGAATAAGGTTCACTCCTCCTCCCGAGCTGCCCAAGGCCAGCCATTTCCGAGACACGGCTACACTGGTGCACTGCAAACGTGGGAAGAGACAAGCAGGAGGCATTCACAGCCACTTAACGGAGCGAACCACCCACTGGAAAGAAAAACCGAGCATTGTGCTCAGCTTCTCCCCCCGCTGCACCCTGGCCAGATGGACACAACACAATGGCACTCACTCTCTAATTCTAGAAGATGAAAAAATACCAAACAAAGGACATTTTGTTTTGAAATGTTTTGCTGAATCGCAAAAACTCTCAATTGGCTCTGGGTATAAATGAGTAATTTTTTTTTTTTTTTGGCAAAAGCCTGTTATTAGACCATTCATATTCTGTGCAATTTGGCTAGGTCATTCTAATGATGACTGAAAGGGAGATCAAGTAAGTTACCAGAGGAAATGCGACCACTCTAGTCATCTCAGTCTGTACGGTCAGCTCAAGACACCACAGACCAGGAGCAAGTAAAGCTGTGGAGGGCACACGCGCAGGCCGCTGCTCTGCCCACACCCTCAGCCCACTCATTTCTCTCTTGATCCTCAAAGAAAGCCGCAGTCATGCTATGCCTGATACCCTGGCAAAAGTTACTGGTTGGCTCACTAAGAAACCTTCCCAAACCTCTTCAATGCCATTGCTTTCTATTCCAGAAGCAGAAGAACCTGAATATTCACTTTCCCAGTTTCTCTTCCTGCCAGAGCAGCCATGTGACTCAAGCCCAGCTAAGAAGACTAAGTCTGCTGAGGACTTCCTGGGAAGTTGTGCCTTTCCAGATGAAATGCAGAGTGTGAACACCACTAAGTCTTTGCCCTTCACTCTTGCTTGGGATGTCATACGGAACATTAAAACTGGAGTCAGAGCTGGGCATGGTGGCAAACGCACGTAATCCCAGCCCCCGGGGAGGCTGAGGCAAGAGGACTGCCACGAGATCAAGGCCAGACTGACCCGCATAGCAAGACCCTGTCTCAAAAAAAAAAAAAAGACTGGAGTCAAGATAAATATACCACAACTGTTACTAAAAGCCAGGACATGGATGATGGCAGAAGAGGAAAGGTGCCTATGTCCTCAGTGACAGAACTGGGCCACTGCACTCAACCAAGCAACACTGACTCCAGCAAGACTAGAAACTCTATTACATAAACCACCACTCATGCGGTACTGTGTTCTGTAACTTGCAGCTAAGAAAACATTTCTAACCGACAGAGATCCTCACAATTGTTGCTCAGGTTTCTCTGCCCCCTACTTCCTAGTATCCCCCTCCTCAGAGACTAGAAATGCACTTTGGGGTGGCAGCAAAAGTGTAAGAATGAAATTATTTTGGAATTGGTTATGAGACTTTGTTCTTCACCACATCATGCTTGGATTTACTCAAAAGAATTCAGGGTTTAAGCACAACTTCCCACAGAACTAACTTTTGCTCTGTTTGCTAAAATGGGGGTTACATCAAAATCTGTCTTGGGATAACTACAGTGGTACACGTTGTTAAAAATTTAATAATGGCCGGGCATGGTTGTGCACGCCTGTAATCCCAGCACTCGGGAGGCTGAGGCAGGAGAACTGTTGCGAGTTCGAGGCCAGCCTGGACTACAAAGTGAGTTCAAGGCCAGCCTGAACTGCACAGTGAGACCCTGTGTCAAAAAAGACCAAAAAAAAAAAAAATTAATAATGTTTATTCATTATTTTAATTTCATTAAAATATATTACTTTTTGAAACAAGCCAGCAAGATTACTGAGGGGGGAAAACTAATCAAACAAAGAAAAAGAATCTAACATTTAAAAATTAAGTAATTAGTATCAGATTTCAGGATTGGGAAAGAATTCAAATGATAGCTCAAAAATTAAATCACCAGCCAGGTGTGGTGCCGCACACCGGTAACCCCAGCACTCGGGACAAAGGCAGGAGGATCATGCAAGTTCAAGGCCTCTCTGGCTCCACAATGAGCTCAAGGCCAGGCTGAACTACATAGTGAGTCCTTGCCTCAAAAAAAACAAAATAAATCAATCAAGAAAGAGCTATGAATGTGCTACTCCCATGTAAGGTGTGACGAGGACATTTAAGAACTCTCAAGAGTCCACAAAACATAAAGAGCTAGAGGGCACGAGTAAAGGTAATAGCACATAGAAATATGACTATGAGCTGGCTGCAAACCGGTAATTCCAGCCACTCAGGAGGCCGAGGCAGGGAGATCACAAACTTGAGTCAAGCCCAGGCAGGGGATGCAGGTTAGTGGTAGGTTGCCCCAGGGTTCAATTGCTAATACCAAAAAAAGAAAAGAAAGGAAACAAAAAGAAAAAGAATTAATACAGGGATCTAGAAGTTTACCTTTAGACGACTGGAGTCCAGCCGCAGAGCTGAGAGTAGCGGGTCCAGTGACTCAAACTCTGCGAGCACATGGCTGTAGGACTCTGGGATCACTGGCACCAAAGGCATTTAGCCAGAGAGGAGCAACTGTTCAGTTTCAACCACAGTACTCCTCACCTGAATAAAACCTGTAAAAATTAATTGAAGAAGATTAGCATTCACTCAGCAAGCATTTAATAAACATATGAGAAAAGAGGAGACCTGAGAAAAGGACAGCCCTATTCTGCAGGGTCACTCCCCAACCGGAAAACTCCCAGTGTCAGGTCTGGAATCTCAAGGCCCTCCACAACCCTACTCCAGGGCATCAGCTTTGAGTAGGTAAAATGGACTGTAGGACTTCAAAGAAAAACAGGCTAAACTCTTTGGAAGATAAAGGAACAACCCTGCTGTATTTCTTTAAGCTGTAAATCTTCGGTCTTTAGGAGTTTCTCATTAAAATGTAACTTTCTGCCAAGGTCTCAGCTATAAACTCTTATCAGCAAAAACTAAAATCATCAGCAAACAGTGTTTGACAGCAACAGTCCTCTGTATCTCTCTCCAGCCTACCAGCAGCTCACTGGGTATGTTGAATGACTCAAGGTACTACATGACAAGGTGCAGAGAATTAGCACAAAAAAAATAACAACTTCAGTATAAGAAACCAGGTGAAAATGAACAGGGATAAAAATACAAGGTAGCATCTGATGCAGGCCAAAAAACCAAACAAACAAAAAACCTCCAATGTAGCAAATGACAAATACCTAAGGAGTAATCTAACAGAAGAGTTACTATCTATTCATCTACTTTCACAAGCACATTATTTGTCAAAAGGCACCAATTTTCAGGAAAAAAAAAAAAAAAAAAAAGAATCTTTAAGAAAATTCTACTCATTATTTTATTTTTCTCAATCTTTGGGTACCTGCCAAATTAAGTATAAAAAGCAAACAAATTTCAGAGAAAACAATCATAAATATTTATACTTATTTTTAACTGTTTATACTTTGGTTTTTTACTTTTTTCAGAAATGTGTATTTATCCATTCTTTTATTCAACAAATACACACAGAGCACTAACTACAAGCTAGGCATTGTTCCCCCTCCTGGAGATAACACAGTAGGTCAAAATAGTACCCTAATTATGGACATACACTCTCGTGGCAAAAGCATATACAAGTTTATGGATTTTAGTTGGTTTTTTGTTGATCTGGCTGATTTGGCTTGGTTTGGTTTTGCCATGCTGGAAATGGAATCTAGAGTTTGTGCATGTTAGGCAAACACTCCACTGCTGAGCTACATCCCTATGCCTTGTGATTTTTTTTAATTGTACACACACAATATACTGTAGTCTTATTTTCTGTAATACTGGTCTTAGCATATTCTAACCTCTGTAAAAAGAATTAGTTTCTAAAAACAACAAAAAATGTAGCATACCTATACTCAAAATATTTGAAAATTCTAAATGTTAAAAAAATCCTCCTCTCTCATTCTTCTATTCATTTTATTGAATAGCTGGTAAAATACCAAGCACAGGGGTGTGAATAAGATAAGCAAAAGAACTCCAGAAATCACCTTATAATCAAATAAGGAAAAAAAGACAAATACCATATATACACTCAAAGAGACAGAGAGCTCTTTTAAGGGAAAAATAACAAAGTGCTCCTTTAGAATGAAGAAAACAGAGGGATATCACTGAATTAAAGAGAACCACAGAACCAGCACCAAGTCTTGAATCAGAAAGAAAAGAAAAAAGTAGCGGGTAGGCAACACTAAGCAAAGATGTAGAGATGGAAAACCGCAAAATATATAGGAAGAATGCAAGTGTAATCTTTAGCTGAAACACAGAATACAATGGAGAGTAATTTGGGCCCAACGTGCAAAAAACACCTTGAATCTCAAAATAACGAATTTAGCTGGGCAAGGTGATGGTGAACGCCTGTAATCTCAGGACTTGGTGGCTGAGGTAGGAGGATCCCCACGAGTTCAAGGCCAGCCTGAACTACATAGTGAGACCCTGTCTCCAAAAAGACCAAAACCAAATCGAATTAAGGAACTTAAAACTTTCATAGGCAACAGAACAATACTCATGATGGGAGATCACGTACTTCTGGTAAAGCGCTGTGGGAAGACACTAGGAAACAAGAACTTGAAAAAAGTGATGTGTGGTGAGGAAGTAAAGGCATTTCAAGAGAGCAGCCTTGTGAGAAAAAGACAAAACATCTCCACTTTCTCAACAGTGGAGATTTAAAACAGATTTGTAACTACCATTGTGGCAGCCACAAGCAGAAGAAACCTTACATCATGCGATCCCGTCTCCTTTCTCCAGCTTCATTTCCCACCCTACCCACTCCAGCGACACTGGACAATCTTGAGCTCCTCTTTCATTCTACAAACTTGCGCCTCCGTGACTGAATATACTGTATGCTGTTTGCTCACTCGTCCTCCATCTAACAAAACTCTATCTTTCTGTAAAGCTGCGTTTAAATTTTACTGCATGAAACAGCACAGCTCTAGCTTAGCGAAAAAGCCCATGGAAGGTGGCCAGAAATACCAGTCAGTGAAATGGCTTCTTAAAAGGCTGACTTGTCCAAAGTTCATAAGATTACACGACGTACAGCTGACACTAAAATACACGTCTCCTGAGTACAGCCCGAATCATCTTACAGTTTCCCCGGATTGTTTAACGGTAGTGTAAAAGAGTGGTACGCTCTGCGTGCGGTTCACACATCAACTGCAAAGCACTGCGTTGTCTTTGGCCCACCAGCCGCGTGGGAGGAGGAGAAGGAGGGGCGAAAGAAATAAGGGAACAAAAACTGTAGTGATGCCCAGGGAAAGGAACAGATTGTATTTCCATAAAGAGCTCTTTCTACGCAAGAAATCATGTTCAGAGAACTCCGTCTCAGAGAAATAGCGTCCTCATTATTTCACGCATTCATGCATTCAACCTGTATGCACCAGGGGAGATACAGGAATGAACAAAATAGTTCCTGACCACGAGAAACTCATCAAGCGAATCTACTACCTTTTCAAAAGCGGTAACTTTAATACTGAATGCACAAGTCCAGAAGCGAGGAGCCCCGGTTACCAAGTTTTCACAGCCAGGCTCGCAGACCAGCGGCCCATAGGTCCCGTCGCCGCTCCACCACATCCAGGTCTGCCGTTCCCAATCCTCAAGAGGTCGGGCCCACTTTCTTATTTCCGTCACTCACCAGACACTGACAGCGGAACCCGAACATCAGTCTCCCTCCCCGCTCCGCCCCTCCCCGTCTTACGTCATCCAGGAGCGCCAGGGACGCGCGGACAACGCTGTTAACGGCACTTCCTCGTCACGTGACGGGCTACGCCCCTCCCTGCGTGTGGTCCCTCCCCCTGAGGCCGCGGTCGCAATTACGCTCCCTACGGCCTGCAGTCGGGGGGCTGCCGCGAGCTGAAGACGCGCCGCTGACCGACACCGGAGGACCGCTAGGCCAAATGGGTGGGCCACGTCGGAACCCAGAACGCTTCACCGCCCAAGACCAGACAGAGGAAACGAAACAGGCGGGAACCGGTGGGGGAGGGAGGCAACGAGCGGAAGGTGTCATGGCGGCCGCGCTCTGCGGTCACGTGTCCCGCAAGCCCCCGCCTTAGCACTTCCGGTCACGTGCCTTCAGAGACCTCGCAGCCAGCGATGGAGGCGAGACCCCCCAGTAACAGAGGCGGTGGCGACGGCTGCAGCCGCTGGGTTTCAACCTCTTTACAGCAGCGGCTGTAAGAAGCGCAGCGGAGCGCGACCCAGTCCAACTCAGTTACCCCCTGCCGGAGGCTGTACCTTCCACCCGGTAAGTTTAAGCTGAAGAATGGGGATGGGTGGGTGGCGAGGAGCTGACAGGCCCGGGGGTCGCGGGACGGAGCGGATGTTGTCCCTTTTTCCCACGTCGCTGTCGCAGCCTCCACAACGCCTAGGCTTGCCGTTTCGTTTGCCCTTATCCCGAAGCAGGAAGGAGATCCAACTCCTGATCGACTTTCTAAAAGAATCCTGTCCTTCCACGGAGATCAGGGACTCAAAGGTTAACCCAGAGCCATGCTCGGACTTGCCTCTTGAACGAAGGAAGTGAAGGCCGTCCCTGGGCGGACAAGCCCTTCCCGTTAGGAAATGTGCTGCTGTCTTCTGGTTACTGTCGGAAAGCTCTTGTCGTTGCTTCCACCTGTCAGTCCTGCCGCTCTTGAAAGCGTTATTAACGCATGAGCCAGTCCACGCACTCCCAGTTTAGTCCTGCGGAGTTTGTCATGTAGTGAAAAATAGACCGGCAATACACGGACTGTGTAAGTAATTACTTTATATAAATTCCCCACGGTTCTCAGAGGCTAAATTGAGTCAGGGGGCATATTTAGTTGATTCTTAAACGCCTACTTTAGTGTCTGTAAAATAAGGGTAGGAAGAGGAAATATAAACTTAATTTTTGCCGGGCTCAGGCAGGCCGAGGCAGGAAGAATGCAAATTCAAGCCCAGCCTAGACAATTTAGTAACTTAGCGCAGAGATCTTGTGTGAATATTTAGGGAATAAGGGATGTTCTGGTATGGAGCTCAGTGCAGAGGCCCTGGGTTCAATTCCCAGGAGCAAAAGAAAACCTTCTAAATTAAGAAAAAAATTCGGAAACCTAAAACTGAGTGGTTTGTGGGCTGCGGATATCGTCAAGAAATACAGTGCTTGCCTAACATCTCAAGGCCCTGCCTTCCATCCCCACCACTGTGAAAACAAAAGTAAACTGGATGGTTTGAAATATAACTTGCAGCAAATAATTGTTCCATACATACAAACCAATCGTTATCCAGATTTGTGGGGTTTTTTTGGTGACAAGGTCTCTGTTTAGTCCATGCTAGCCTTAAAAGGCTCACGTTGTAACCCACACTAGCCTCTACCTCCCAGTGATTCTCCTGCCTGAGCCTCCAGAGTTCTGGGGTTACAGGCTACAGGCATGCCCCTACATGCCTGACTCTATACTTTCTTTTTGTTTTTTTCTGGTTTTTTGTGGTTTTTGGTTTTTTTGTTTTGTTTTGTTTTTGAGACAGGGTCTTGCTCTATAGTTCAGGCAGGCTTGAACTCACTATGTAGTCCAGGCTGGCCTCAAACTCACAGCAATCCTCCTTATGCCTAAGCCTCCTGAGTGCTGGGATTACAGGCGTGTACCACCAGGGGCAGCTTGTCTGACCCTTTGTAAACGTTTGAAAGAAGCCAAATGTGATAGCGTACACCTGTAATACCTGTAATCCCAGAACTCTTATTGGGCTGAAGCAGGATTGCAAATGCAAGCCTCATCTGGGCAATTTAGTGACTTAGTGAGACTCTATTTCAAGGTAAAAATTTTAAAAGGGCTCTGGAGATGTAGTTTAAAGGCTGTGGGTTCAATCCGCAGTACTGTGTGACAGAAGAAAATGTTAAAGGGGTTTAAGGCCTGGTGTGGTAGCATACACCTGTAATCCCAGTACTCGGGAGGCTGAGGCAAGAGGATTGTTGTGAGCTCAAGGCCAGCCTGGAGGCTGTGCGCTGCCATGGCTAGTTTAAATTCATCCTTAAAGGGACATATAACTCAGTTAACTTTTAGCAACGAATTCTCTCTTAGGTGATGTTAAATACACATTCCAGTGCAAATGTAAAAATAAAACCGTGCCAAATGCAGAGAGGATGCTTTCAAAATACTAGGAAAATTGGTGGAAGAGAAGATTCAGTTAAAAGTATTGAAGTAAATGGTCCAGCTTCAGCTGAGTGCTTCATTGCATTCTGCCCTCGGGACTTACCTTTGCTCTGCTGGTTTATCATTCCATCTTAAAGCCTGCTTCTCTTTTCTTTCCCCTAAGATCAGAATGTTGTCTGGTGTCCCTTGAGCTTTTCTAACATTTTTGGCCGCCATTTGTACCTTATAAATAATGCTCTTAGACGTGTCTTTGTGCTCTTCCTCCTGTGTCTCTTCCTGTCTTGTCTAGCATTGATGTGTGGCATTGATCTAATAGTCTATTTTTTTCTCCACTGTGATTACCGACTGATTTTTCTTGCCCTGAGTTTGGCAGCGCACCCTTGTATTTATTTTAGGTGGATATCAGCCACTTTCCCTCTGTCCTGCATCTGTCACATTTTCCTCTTGCCGCCCCCTGCACTGCTGTAAGATGAAAGAATAAAAAAATATTTGGTCCTAGGTTGCCCTAAGAGTTCTCCTTAATATCTTCCTTGCCTGTGAAACTGTTACTAAGACAGTACATTCTGGTTATTTTGAACATACTCTGAAGTCTTGTTCATTGTAATGTTGAAATGTTTTTGGATTGCTTGGTGGCAAGCAGCATTCCAGATCTCCATTTTTGTTTTGCAGATAAAAGGATAAGGGTGGGGAGGAGTTATCTCACTTGTTGCCTTTTTCCCCTCTCCATTTGCCTGCACTCTGGAAGAAAAGGATTTGTTAATGAAAATATAGAGATGGAATAATTAAAGATTTCTACTCAGCTGTTTTGAATTCTTTCTGTACCTGTTTCCTTATGGAGCAATAGCCAGAGATCTGTGTGAGACATGGTACTCTTATCTGTGTGTTGAGAGATACGGTGCTTTCTGGAGTGTAGTGGAGAACAGATATGCAAGGGATTCTTGTTGTGTCTTGCCAGGACTGAATTCTTTTAACCATAGAAATCTTACATAGATGTCACAGATACTTACTGGACTCTTCTGCAGGCGAACCTTGTGCTGCTGTGGGGTGTAATGTAGTGAACACAACACATGCAGCTTCTGCCCCCGTATGTAAAGCTTTCAGTCTATCAAGGAGATGTACATTTAAAAATCACATAAAAAATGAATTACAGTTGTAAGTGCTATGAAGAGAATAATAAGTGACATTAGTTAACTTTGTTTTGGGGGGGTGTTGGTGGTACCGGGAATCAAAGTCAGGACCTTGTGTTTGCCAGGCAGGCACTTATGCCACTGAGCTATATCCCCTGCCCAATAATTTGAAGCCCCCACCTCCCCCGTGCACCACCCGGTACTGGGAATCGAACTCACAACCTTGTGCTTGCCAGGCAGGCGCTGTTCCACTGAGCTAAATCCCCAGCCCTACCTTAGTTAACTTTGAAGCTTAGAGTACACACACACACACACACACACACACACACACACACACACGCACACCATAGATTCAGGCAAGAAAAAAAGCTTTTGTCTGTTTTGACACAAGGTCTCACTAAGTCACTACATTGCCTAAGTTAGGCTAGAACTTGTAGTCCTCCTACCTTAGCCACCTAGAATGCTGGAATTACAAGTAGGCCCCACTGTGCACAGTTTAGGCAAATAAATTTTTTATGGTAAATGAATTCATGCCTTTCGTAGAGGATTTTGCTGTTTAAAACATTGTGGTGACAGATTATTTTATGCCAGGAATTGAATCTGGAGCCTCGCACATTCTTAGTGAATACTCTACTATTGAGCTATATTTCCAGCTTTGGCAAATTATTCCATAAAGAAAATAATCTTTTAAGTAATGTTAGATCTTCATTGACTACATTTATTTAAATATAGTCTACTACAGTATTTTTCAGAAATGTTCTATGGCTCTTACAGAGTTCTGTTGGGGAGAGTGCTTGCCACCCAAGGACACTTACTTCAAGAAGTACGGAAATCACAGAAACCATTGTAGGATAGCCTCTGTGGTTCTGTCAACTCTCCTAAAATTAGTCTTTATACAATTGACAGAGGTGACACAGATGACCAGGAAAGCTTGCCAGGCAAATTAGCTGAGACAATTGATCAGTTGTACCCAGTGTTTCACTTCAGTCTTTTTTTTTTGTTTGTTTGTTTTGTTTTTTTTTTTGTTTTTTTTTTTTTTTTTCGGTTTTTTTCCGGTACTGGGAACTGAACTCACGACCTTGCGCTTGCCAGGCAGGCGCTTTTGCCGCTGAGCTAAATCCCCAGCCCCTGTACCCAGTGTTTAATAACTTATCTCTGATCTTGGGGGATCATATCCAGGACATAGTGTGCCAGGCATACAGTCTGGCAGTAGGCTGCATCCCCAGGCCTGGATAGTTGTTCTGTTTTGTCTGTGGTACTAGTATTGAACCCAGGGCCTTTGCACTTATTACATCCCCAAGGCATTTTTTTATTTTTTTATTTTGAGACAGGGTCTCACTAGGTCTCTAAGTTGCCCATGCTGAACTCGAACCTCTGATCCTCTGCCTCAGTCTCCCGTAGTGGGGTGCTAACCAGTGTGTACCATTATACCTAGCATTGTTTTTTAAGTCAATAATATAGATTGAAACTATTATGTACCCCCCTTAATTTGATTGCTTAGTGCTTATTTTTTTTGTTAAAATCTGAAAATGTGGGTTTTCAAACCTTCAAGCAACTACATGTACTACCGCTAATCAGAATCTTAGGACATCAAAAGCCAAATCAGCTAAAATATACTATATAGTAAGAATTTTAATTTTTTTGTCATAGTTGGTATACTGTATAGGTATCAAAACTGGGGTTTATAAAACAACATAGGGAATACCTTCAATGGCAAGTCTAAAACACAAGATAATTAACCTGGGCTTACTTTATATAACATCTGCAAAGTGAGTACAGGTAATGGACATACACTTTAAAGTGAAGAAAGTTAATATTAGGGTTGCAAGATCGTGGAATTTTTTTAAAGCCCTTTTTGTTACTGAGTTTAATGAAAGCAGTCATCTGTGTTTCATCCCAATTTACAAATGCCCACGTGATGCAGACTGTCTCCACCTGCGTGACTCAACAGTGAAAACCGAATTCCTGGTCTTCACTTTCGAACCTTTTCCTGCTTATTTATTTCTGTAAAGGGCATCGTGTATTCATGTTGGTAAGAATTAGGAATAGGATATGTGCAAGCAACCCCGACACTGCCTTCAGCACTTACAGTGTCTGTTTGTCTTGGTCCTTTCATGTCCATTTTCAGAAGTCTTAAGAAATTTTTCTGTTGCTTATCACATAGGATAGCATTCTCCACGTTCTGCCTTCAATCTCATAATCTGCTAATCTCCAGTATGAACCTTATACTGCATTCAGAATAGACATACATACCTTCAGAGTAAACATACCGTACCATTCCTAGAGTTTCAGGCCTTTCCCCAGAACACTCTTTTTTTTTGCCTGTACTATTTCCCTTTACTGTCTCTGTCAAAATCCTTTTTCAAGATCCTATTTATAACATGTATTAAAAAATGAACTCCTGCTTTATGTAACAGTGTGGCGAACTTCTTAAGTGATGAACCAGAGGCAAAAGAATATATGTAAGATTCCTCAAACAAAAACTAATCTGTAGTAATAGAAATCAGAAAGTAGTTGCTGGAGGTAGAGAGAATTGATGGAAAGAAACATGAGGGAACTATGTGGATCTATACAATTATCAGAAGGCTTCAAACAGTGTCCTAAAACTATGCATTTTGTTGATTTGTTAATTATACCTCATGGGGGTGGGATCCGGACAATGTAGCACTGTTTTGTTTTTGTTCTTCCATTTTCCAACCTCTCACCTCCCTCCTTGCTCCCTTCAGCTCTTGGTCCCTTTCCTATTTGCAAAAGCTCTACTTTTATCATTTTTTCCCCTCAATTCTTTTTTTCCCCATCCCCTTTCTCTCCCTTCCCATCCCCCTCCTTCCATCTCTTGCTCCCCCATTCATCTCCCTGCTTCCTGTATACTTCAATTTTTAAAATTTACTTCTACAAAATTTTTATGCCAAGTTTTTTACAAGGCTTACCAAGTAAAGAGATGCCCTGAACCCTAACTCAGAACGTTTTATATATTGTTTTGGGGACTTTACATGTTCTAATTTGTATACACTGACAGCATATATGTATACATCTTGCTCAGCAGACTGAAAGTTCTTTGAAAGCAGAAATCACTATTCATAGACATTCATCTTTGAATAGTCCCAGGCTTTTTGGATCAGTACAAATTTGCTGGATAAATGTATTCATACTGACCCTTATTTCTTCTTCGAATGGAGTAGTTGATAAAGAATTTCAAAATCAGGCATTGTGGCACACACCTGTAGTCTCAGTACTGGCTGAGATGGATCACTGGAGTCCAGCCTCAGCAACATAGCAAGACACAATCTTTAAAAAAAAGATCTTGGACCAGACATGATGATACCTATAATCCCAGCACTGCAGAGACTGAGGCAGAAGATTCACAAGTTAAGATCCCAACCTGGGAATTTTAGCAAAACCCTCTATCAATATTTTTAAAAATAATAAAGAGGGCTGGGGATGTAGCTCAGTTGGTACCACATCCCTGGGTTCTATCCCCAATTCAGAGTTGCAGGGAAGGATCTCAGGCTGGTGCTATGGCTCAGTGACACAGTATTTGCTTAGCATACGTAAGGCTATAGGTTTGATCCCCAGCAATGCAAAAATAAAAAACAAATAAAGCACCTGTAAAAGGAGAAAGCTAACTGTTCACAACTCAGATGATCTACTTCAGAGAAATCAAGATTTCACACTGTGCCCCAGTTTCCAGTTCCCAGTGCTGGAGGTCAGCCACACACAGCCCCCCACTTTTTTTGAGACAGAATCTCACTAGGTAGTTCAAACTGGCCTTGAACTCATGGCAGTCCTCCTGCCTCAGTCTCCTGAGTGGTGGGATTACAGGTAGGCACCACCAGCCCCGGCCCCCAGCCCAATTTTTTGATCTTTAGGTATGCTAACTTCTCTGTTATGGTTTGTGTCTACATGTCCCCCCGGCAAAGCCTCATACAGTCGTGGGGCAGGCTTCCAGAGTTTTTGATTGACTCATGGTCCAATGGGATTATCAGTGTGAGTGCTACACTCATGGTCCACTGGGATTATAAATGTGAGTACTGGGATTATAGCCCTGGGTGTAGCTGGATGCAGGGTGGGTAGCCTGCATACAATATAAGGAAAGGAAAGAGGCTTGCTCTCTACTGCTCCTTCCTGTTTGCTTTTGCTGCTTTTGCTGTTTTCTGCTGCCATGAACTGTTGCCCTCTGCCCTGTGCCACTCTGCCTTGGAGCCAGCTGATCGTGGACTGACGCCTCCACAAACTGTGAGCTAAATAAACTTGCTTAATTTTGGGTGCCTGGCATTTTGTCTCAGCAAGGAGAGAAAAGTAAACAAGACATTCTCAGTACTTTAACCTGTGTTTTAAAAAGTAAATTTGTAAAGCTGGGCATGGTGGCGCTCGCCTATAATCCCAGCACTCAGGAGGCTGAGGCAGGAGGATCATTGCAAGTTCAAGACCAACGAGGGCTACAAAGTGAGCTCAAGGCCAACCTGAACTGCATAGTGAGACCCTTTCTCAAAAAGACAAAAATAAAAAATTAAATTAAATTTTTTTAAAAAGCTTATAAAAATTGAGCCATTCCTTTGGAAATGAAAATTAGCATCATAATTTCATCAGAAATGGCTGATATGAGGCATTTTTGCCACAGCTTTCCCTATCCTGGCCTATGGCAAATATAGCTTTCAATGTGAGCATCTTTCCAGTTGAATCCCAGCATCTTCAGAGTCTTTTTTGCAACCTCTTATTCTAGATAGCCACACTCAAACCTCAAGGAGTTGGATTGAGCACTTAAAATTTCCAGAACATGATGAGAGGGGGTGCTCCAGGCATTTTCCTAGGGTAGCTCATTAGCCATATTCAAGTGAATACTTGGCCAAGAGCAGTTGAAGACATATTATTATTAAAAATGGAAAATTAGGCCTGGCATGGCGGCGTCTGCCTGTAATTCCAGTGCTAGGGAGGCTGAGACAGGAAGATCACCATGTGTTCGAGGCCAGCCTGAGCTATACAGCAAGACCCTGTCTCAAAAAACAAAACAAAATAAATACATACATAGAACTAAAAATGGGAAACTAGCATCTGGAGTTTAAGTATCAGTTTTGTAAATATACAGAACAAGCTTAGACTAGGAATTATCTAGGTGTGATTTCAGCTGTGGCAGTAGTTTTGAGAAGTTCACACAAATTCTGTGACTTAAATTTATTTTGATTGCAACAAATTTGACTTCATTAGGATCCTGTAGTAATCCCATAAATGCTACAAATTTGACTATTCATTAGGATCCTTTGTAATCCTATAGTTCTAAATATAGAGTAGATACAAGATTGCACGTTTATAGTCAAGTTTTATTTTTATGATGTAACAGTAGAACTGAGAGCTGGGCATGGTGGCGCAAGCCTGTAATCCCAGCACTCAGGAGGCTGAGGCAGGAGGATTGTTGCAAGTTTGAGGCCATCCTGGGCTACAAAGTGATCTCAAGGCCAGCCTGAACTGCATAGCAAAACCCTGTCTCAAAAAGACAAAAAAAAAAAAAAAAAGAGTAGAACTGAGGAAAATAATAAATTGGAAATACTGGTTAGTATACGTGGAAATGGCTTGAAAAATGATCACGTGTTACAGAAGCGTGAGGTGAATTCAAACCTCTGGTATGAGGCAAACTTTAACTTTGAAGGAAAGAAGAGTTTTTTCCTCCTGGTAATATCTTGCATTTTAGATTTCAGCTTTGAGAGGGACTGGAAGTCAACATATGCAACTCTTAACTGATGTGTGAAGTATGTTTTTCTTCATTTCTTTCTGTTAGCACCTTACAGCCATCATGGCGACCTCATCTGAAGAAGTTTTGCTGGTTGTAAAGAAGGTGCGTCAAAAGAAACAGGATGGCGCTCTGTACCTCATGGCAGAAAGAATTGCTTGGGCACCGGAAGGCAAAGATAGATTTACAATCAGCCATATGTATGCAGATATTAAATGTAAGTCAACTACACTAAGATCTGATGTAAATGTATTTGCTACTAATTTTATAACATTTGTGAGTTTTGTATTTTATGTCATTTAAAAAGTAACCTTATATAAATAATTGCAAAATGATATCACTAAATATATAGTATTCTATTCCTAATTTCTTAATTTCTTTGCTTATTAATACAGCATTTGCAGGTTTATATAAATACGTAAATATACCTTGTGTAAAGATCTCCACACACACTTTCAAGAATTGCAGAGTAAGGCAGGCATGGTGGTGCACACCTGCAATCCCAGCACTTGAGAACCTGAGCTAGGAGGATCACCATGAGTTGGAAGTGAGCCTGGGATATATAGTGAGACCCTATCTTTAAAAAAGAGAATTATTAACATTCCAATGAGTGGATATACAGTCATGTTTAACCATTCCTCTGAAGGACAATTAGGAAGTTTCTAGAACTTCGTTATTACAAATATTTTACATTGCAGAACTATGCACCAGTGTCTTTAAGAGGTTGTGTTGGGGAGGGTACATTTCTGCAGGGTATTAGTGTGTTTACTATTTCAAATGGTTTGTACTTTTTTAAAAATTTTATTTTTATTAGTACATGTTTCCAATACGTTCAAAATGCAGAGTTGATATATGTATGTAACATAACTCAAGCACTGTGTGTATGTGTATGCATTTTACATGCATATAAATGAACCTGAGCATGGTGGCACTTTCCTATAAACCCAGTATTTGGGGAGGCTGAGGCAAAAAGATCAAAGTTCAAGCCCAGCCTGGGCAACTTAGCAACCTAGCAAGAACCTATCTCAAAAAGGGTTGGAGATGGAGCTGGTGTGAACACCCTGGGATCGGTCCCCAGGACTGGGTGGGAGGAGGGGTATTGACAGGTAATGTCAGATTTTATTTGAATAACATTGCACCATTTAGGCAGGTTGTCTCATTAATCTTTGGTTATGTGGTCATATCCATTGGGGAGGTAGATCAGAGAAATTTTTCTTCAAAATTTTCAACCAAAGAATAAAATCAGGACATCTTCTCTTTGGAAATTTGGAAGATCAGTATTGAATTTATTACCCAGAGGGTATGGTAACATTGTGGTTTAATAATAATTAGATTTAAAGGCACTAGGTGAATCTTGATGTTTAGTACCTTTATTCTGAAAAGGAATTTTCACCATTCACCCGATATCTTGAAAGGAGAGACCCAGGAAAGTCTGGGCAGCCATCCCCTTGACATATTGTGGTACCTTAACTTCTAATGTGGATTTATTTCTTTTACTGGACATAAATTACTTCTATTTTGCTGCTAGAAATGACCAAAGTTTCTGTCTTTCTCCATTGAAACAACTTAGAATCATCATTTTCAAAGGGAGCCAGGTGTGGTGGCCTAATGCCTGTAATCCCAACATTCAGGAGCTGAGGCAGCAGGATTGCCATGAGTTCAAGGCCAGCCTGGGCTATGTAGCAAGACGCTGCCTCAAAAAACTCCCCCCAGAAGGAGGAAATACTGTTTAAAATTTGTCACAGTTCAGTTCTGCCTAAGCTACATGGTCTTTGTCAACTATCCTGGTATTAGGAGCTTCTTTTACTTTGTTTCTGTGGAGAACTGCTATAATTCCTGGTAAGTCTTACATACTAACATTTGTGCAATAAAGTGGTAAACTATAAACTGCCTGTGTTACCATTTCTTGTAAATGGGGCACAAGGCCTGTAACTTAGCAAAACACTCTCATTATAATACTCATAGTATACAACAAAAAAGTCTCCTGTTTCTCTGCAGTTGCCAGCTGTTGGGGGGAGTGTACATACCCAAATCTAGATCTATTCCAGAACAGTTTTTATTTGAAAGAATGCCCACTTCTGAAAGTTACTGATAAAATACTCAAGTAAAATTAGCAGTAGTCTTGCAGGTTGAAATTAGCTTGTTAAGAAACTTAAGTACATTATCCTCTCAGAGGCAAGAGCTAAAATAGAGTAAGGGTGGAGCAATGACTAAGGAAAGATGCCTGGGAAGGAGTGACTGTTTTAGAGGGATGCAGTAATGGAAAGTGTAGACTGACACTTAGAGACAGGGACTCACTGTGTAGTTCAGGCTGGCCTTGAGTTCACTGTGCAGCCCAGCCTGGCCTCTTAACTTGCCTCAGCCTCCTGAGTGCTGGGATTACAGGTGTGTACCACCATGCTTGGCAGGACTGATAGATAAATTACTTCATTATTGCTGCTTTTAACAGTAAAGTATTTCATCTACACTATGCTTTAGCATTGTCCTTGTGGTCAGTTTCTGTCTAAGGTTTAGAGATCTGTTTATGCGAAGAACTCAATGCACTGTGTCGTACCACTATGAGTCACCCATTTAAGGGGACAAAGCCTTCTACCTCTGTTTCCTGTTGGAAGAAGAGAACCTCTACAATTACCACAAGGGCTGTTTTCTAAGAACACAAATTTCTCTAGTTTCTCTGTTGTGCTCTGGTGTATATTAGTTATGTCTGCTCTGATTTTTTTTTTTTTTTTGGTCTTTTTGAAACAGGGTCTTGCTGTGCAGTTCAGGCTAGCCTTGAGCTCACTTTGTAGCTCAGGCTGGCCTTGAACTCACAACGATCCTCCTGCCTCAGCCTCCTGAGTGCTGGGATTACAGGGATACGCCACCACACCTGGCTGCTCTGATATTTTTATGAAAATCTTCAAAATTACATTTAAAGACTGGTACAAGGAAAACCTATGTAAAATATCCCACCTAGATGCTATAGTTGATATTTTACCACATTTGCTTTACTTCTGTATACACTTAGTATTGCTTGATGAGATTATTATCACAAAAAATTTTGGGGTTTTGTTTTTGAGGCAGTCTTGGTATATACTCCAGGCTTAACCTGGAACTCAACAACCATCCTGCCTCCACCTCTGGAATGCTGGGAAAACAGGCATGTACCAACGTGTCTGGCTCAAGAACATTTTAATAGTAAATATCCAGACCCATCATTGCATGTCCTTGGTTATCCCAATAATGTCTTTCATAGCTATGTTGTTTTAAATGAAAATCTAGTCTATGTACATGCAGTTGAAGTTTCTGGCCTCTTACAGAATATAATACAGACTTATAGTACATCACAACATCACACATTATGAGTCATTTATTCCTGTACATGTGTGTGTCTGTCTGTGTCGGTGTCTGTCTGTGGAGACGGGTACTAGGGAGTTAGACTGAGCCCAAGGGTTTTTACACATACTGGGCAGTCACCCTGCCAGTGACTTGAGCTGCATATCCAGCCCTCTTTATTTCTTGTAAACTGCAAGGTCTGAAGGCTTGGTCATATTCAGGCTAAACATTTTGGGCAGCAGTAATACATCAGTGTTGGTGTTTGCTCCCTGTTGTCATCTCAGAAAGCACAGAGTGTGGTGTCTTCCTTTTAATGAAGCTAAGATTGGTCACTTGATTAAAGTGGTAACACACAGTAGTTCTTCCAAATGTAAAATTACATATTTTCCTTTTTTTTTGGTTTTTCTCCGGTACCAGGAACCGAACTCACGACCTTGCGCTTGCCAGGCAGGCGCTTTGGCGCTGAGCTAAATCCCCAGCCCCATGTTTTCCTTTTTAATTAGTAAATAATCATGCGTTTAACAGGTTTGGATTATGATAGGTTATTTTTGTTAGTGATGATGTTGCTTGAAGGCCAGTGTTTAGAATGGATTCAGGGGTCCTGGTTGGCTGGTTAGAAATCTTTCAAGGAGTCTATCCTTGAAAAGGATAACAAAAGCCCATTGGAGGTCAAGTACAGATGAGAAGGACTGTATCAAAAGTGTACAGAAGAGGAAAGCAGTGTTAGCAATGAGTATATTAAGTTATACTCTGATCATGTGAGATTATTTGAAAAGAGTGCGTTTGTGCAGAAGCATTAAGATTGGAGTGGGGCACCTAAAGCCCCTAAGGAATGCTGAGTTTTGGGAGAAATAACCTACTACTGCTTAACCTACTCCGCGGTGTGTGTGTGCTCCTGAGCTTTGTGTTTCTTTTTAGGCCAGAAAATCAGTCCAGAGGGCAAAGCTAAAATTCAGCTTCAGCTGGTCCTTCATGCAGGGGACACAACAAATTTCCATTTTTCCAATGAAAGCACAGCAGTGAAAGAGCGTGATGCAGTAAAGGACCTTCTTCAGCAGCTGCTGCCCAAATTCAAGAGGAAAGCAAATAAGGAACTGGAAGAGAAAAACAGGTGAAGGATGAGCCTTTTAAAGAGATAGTAGATTCTCTGTCATCTCGCAGTAGGGTGGTAGCTTGTTACTGCTCCTTCCTTCTACTGTGGTATGTGTACAGGAAGACATGGGCTTTGGCATCTTTACGCCTGTCTTTGCTTCCCAGCTTGAGCATTTTACTGGCCCTTTGACGTTGAGCAAATGGACCACGCAGACCTAGAGGTTAAATTATCTATCAAGGGGCTGGGGATTTAGCTCAGCGGCAAAGCACTTGCCTGGCAAGCGCAAGGTCGTGAGTTCGGTTCCCGGTACCGGAGAAAAACCAAAAAAATAAAAAAATAAAAAAAATAAAAATAAAAATAAATTAACTATCAAACCTCCTGTCTGATTAGAAGCAGAACTGAGATTCAAAAGTGCTATGCTTCCTTAATTTCTTTTCCCAGTTCTCTGTCACAGAGAAGATAAAGATAATAAACTGTTAGAAGTATGTGTGTAAAGCCAGGCCTTGTGGTGCACACCCATCATCCCAGCACTTGGGAGGCTGAGGCAGGAGGATCATTGCCAGTTCAAGACCATCCTGGGCTACGAAGTGAGCTCAAGTCCAGCCTGAATTGCATAGCAAGACCCTGTCTCCAAAAAAAGTGCGTGTGGGGGCTGGGGATTTAGCTCAGCGGCACAGCACCTGCCTGGCAAGCGTAAGGTTGTGAATTTGATTCCGGGTACCGGAAAAAAAAACAGAAAAAGAAAAAGTGTGTGTGTAAACAAAAACCCAGAAAGAATGTATACTGTAAAAAAAAAATTAAATAAAAATGAAAAAGAAGGTATACTGTGAGAAAATGAGATAGTATGTGAAACAGTAAGGAGTTTTGCTAAGATGAATTGTTACATCACCAACATTTGTCAGGCCACCAGTGCTTATAGTTCCCAGTGTTTATCACAGTGGCACATTAGTTGCTGGAAGATCTCAACTATAAAGGTGACCTCTTCCCCATTCACCTTTATGTGCAAAAAAGAATACAGTATTATACAGAAATGGTAATCGTTGTGTTACGAAGATAAATAAGACCAAATCCATGACCCCCCTGAAAAGCTTAATTTCTGCTCATTCAGACTTACTTCATTTATTCCTTCAAAAGTGGTGTTTTGCTCTTGATTACTTAAAAATGAACTAAATATCTTCTGGTGCTCAATCATCATAAAATAAAAATTGTTTCAGTTTTGTGTCACTAAGGTCTTAAAGTGTTATCTTAACATTAATGGTGTTTTAAGCTGGGCGTGGTGGCGCACACCTGTAATCCCAGCACTCGGGAGGCTGAGGCAGGAGGATCATTGTGAGTTTGAGACCAGCCTGGGCTACAAAGTGAGCTCAAGGCCAGTCTGAACTGCATAGGGAGACCCTGTCTCAAAAAGAAAAAAAATTAACGGTGTTTTATCCTAGAAGTTCAATCATGTTTAATATACTCTGTCTGCAGAATGCTGCAAGAAGATCCTATTCTGTTCCAGCTTTATAAAGACCTTGTTGTGAGTCAAGTGATCAGTGCTGAGGAATTCTGGGCCAGTCGTTTAAATGTGAATGCAGCGGGTAGTTCTTCCACCTCCAATCACAAGCAGGATGTTGGCATTTCTGCAGCATTTCTGGTATGTGACCTTGGAGATTTCTGAAGGGAAAAAATGGAAACCCCAGTGTGTGTGTTAACAGTGCCATTTCCATAAAATGTAGCAGTTCTATAAAGAAAATAAGTAGAAAATTCAGTATCAATGGTATTTTTCTTAAACATTTTTTTAAAAACACAATGTTTTAAATTTTTTTTTTTTGTCAGTTACATTAAATTTATTTTTTTGTCAGTTAATTTTGTTGGTTTTTGAACTTGACGCTGGCATGGTAGAATTCAAATGGACTTTGAAAGTAACTCCTAGAAATTAAACCAATACTTACAGGTCATACTTACAGACTTAGAACAATCTGGTACCTTTTTAAAATGATTGCTATATAAATGATTCAAAGTTAAATGTTCAGTGAGCATAATAGAAAAATTGGAGCACCTTCTTAACTATGGACTTAGGAAGTGGAATTCTGTGCTCTAGCAGAACTAGAAAATTCAACAAATCTTTGAATACAAGTTGTATGCTAGGTATTACTAGGTGTTTAGTGTAAGTGAACTGACTTTATAAAGCCTTTGCTAAAGAAACCAGTAAATGTTAGATTAAACAGTAACCAAGGTTTATAATGGGAACTGTACAAGTATGTAGTTGCCACTTGGCAACTACACAAGTTTTATGTTAACGTTCCACTAGCTCTTTGCCTTTGGCCACTCTACAACATGCCTGATTAACTATATTCAGTTTTCAAGAAAGCGTGTATTAAGTGGGCATGGTGGTGCATGCCTGTAATCCCAGCACTTAGGAGGCTGAGGCAGGAGGATCGTTGCAAGTTCAAAACCAACCTGGGCTACAAAGTAAGCTCAGGGCCACCCTGAACTGCATAGTGACACCCTGTCTCAAAAAGACAAAAAAAAAAAAATTTTACAAATCACTGAGAATGAGAAATGAGTCTATGCTTCTTTGATCCCTCTGTCTTGCCAAAAGTGAAAGTACATTCCTTTAGGAAGTCTGTTTTCCACACTGGTGCAATGTCTGTTGGGAGCTGAGACATACTTCCTGTTGCTCTGACAAGTATAAGTATAAATAACGTACGTGTGTGTGATCTTCGTTTTAGGCTGACGTCCGGCCCCAAACAGATGGCTGTAATGGTTTGAGATATAATTTAACTTCTGATATCATTGAGTCCATATTTAGGACCTATCCAGCAGGTAAGAATGGGCAGTTCTTCAGGTGGTTAGCATATTTGAATTCTATACCAGAATTCAAAAACTGAAAAACAAAAAACTTATTTTATGACTTAAGTGGAGTAAAGTACATTATTACCCAGTGCCTAATGTATGGTAGATACCAAGGGCTGAGTGAAAATGTGCCATTACTAATTCACTGATATGATGACTGCCCTTCTTTCCGTCGTCAGTGGTACTTAAACATTATTTAGCCCTAAATACCTGTATGAAATGATTCGTTACAGAGACATCAGTAATGAATTTCTCTACACCACTACCTCAAGATCATCCCTTACACTATATCCAAAGTGGCCTTTGCAACCCATAAATCCCTGTGTCTGCAGAAACCATCCTAACAGCATCAAAGCCTGATCACAGCCCTGGTGGTTTTTGATGTGAAGTGAGCGTGAGAGCCATTGCTTCGGTCATGCTTCTGACTAATGGGTGTTCTCTTAAAGTCCATCCCTTTTCTTCACCCCCGTCCCTCTTCAGTCCTTAGGAACCACCTCTCCCTCAGGACTCAGCTCAGGCATCCCCTGTTGGCCACCTGTACAAAGTCCTGACCTCCTCCGGCAGATAAAGTCCTCCTAGTCTATAATGTTTGCCTCAAAGTGTGATCACAGTATCTTTCTCATAATAATAACATAGTGTTACTATGTGTCGGGTACTCTTCTCAGAGCTTTTTATGTATTCATTAATCATAAATACCCCAGAAGTACAGGTGTTGTTAAGACCCTCTTTTTACAAATGAGAGCACCAAGGTAGAGAGATGAAATAATATTTGCCCAAGGCCATACAGATAATAAATGGCAGACCTAGTTTTTTGGTTGTTTTATTGAGACAAGGTCTTGCTATGTAATTCAGGCTGTCCTTGAACTCAGTATGTAGCGCAGGCTAGTCATGGTGATCCTCCCACCTCAGCCTCCCAAGTACTGGGATTACAGGCGTGTGCCACCACACCTGGCAGACCTAGAATTTTAAACTCAGATTCTGGCTCAATAAACCATGTTGCCAACTAGATTATAAACTTGCAGAGTTGAACTGGTAGTCCAGTGGGTATTAAGATCTTTATTTCCTAGCCACCAAACAGTGTGTGGATTGAGAGCTGCTGTGTATAAATAAACAAGGAAACTTAGGTCTGACGTCAAGTTTTTGTTGGTTCTACTAAAACTTAAGAACTTTTTAAAAAATATATATTGATATATAATGAGTAGTTTATTAACGTTCATAAAGATAACATGTTAAGGTCTCATAAGTACAATTAGATTATAGTATACAATGTATAAAGATGAGTGTTTCATAATCTAGTTGTAGCTTTTAGTCTGTGTTTCATTTATCTAATTTGAGAGGTTTTAAGAAATGGAAATGTATGCTGGTTATGGTGATGGGAGGCTGAGGCAGGAGGAGCACCTTGAGTTCAAAGCCAGCCTGGGCTACATAGCGAGTTCAAGGCCAGCCTGAACTACATAGTAAGACTTTGTCTCAAAAAAGGAAATTCAGTGTGTAACTATTTCTTACCTTCTCCCCCCACAGTAAAAATGAAATATGTAGAAAACGTTCCTCACAACATGACAGAAAAGGAATTCTGGACACGTTTTTTCCAGTCCCATTATTTTCATAGGGACCGGCTAAATACAGGGTCAAAGGATCTCTTTGCAGAATGTGCCAAAATAGATGAAAAAGGTAAGTATCCCTGACATAATCTAGTATTCATTTTGCCAGTCACTAATCCTTAGAGTTGTTAATGAACTTCTTTTAAATGTCTGGGAAAGATAAACTTTGATGAACTTTGTATTTCATTGATTTTCTAGGGTTAAAAACAATGGTTTCATTAGGAGTGAAAAACCCACTACTAGATTTGACAGCTTTGGAAGATAAACCATTAGATGAGGTAAGAAGCAATAAAAGGAGTTAGAGAGAAAACAGTCTTTCCTTAGACTGCTCTGTCACTATATAGCTTTAAAATTGCCTTTAGATGTTCCAGTTGTACAACTGTAAAACAAGCAAAATACTGTTAAAGTGATGAATCAAAAGTGCTGTTCAGTGTGTTCTAATTCCCCTCACCCAGAAAAAAGTGCTTTTAGTAGTGCTATTTGCTGTTGTTTGCCTTGAGAACAGAGAGCCCTGTGTGCGTTGCTAAAACTTATCAGAAACATTTTTTTAGCTCTCCTGTGAGCAGATCTGCAGGTAGTCATCAGGAAGCTAAATCCAGCATTATATTCTAGTTAATATTTAATCCAGTGTGGCTACATATTAGCACACAAGGAAAACAAACATTTTGTTGATTGCCTGCTATCTGCCAAACTGCTTTCGTGACCCTACCCTACACCTGCCTGGTATATTTCAGCAGCTGGACCGTCATGTTTAAGCTACCTGCCTCAGCCTCATGACCCCAGGCATACACAGTATCCAGTCACAGAGAGGAGCCGTTCCTTCCAAGAGGCGCATTCTGTCCCCGCCTCCACATTCTGCTGCAGGGCCCTGCCTTCCTCAGTTACTCCCCTTGGTGTTGTCGTTTTCTCCCCTTCTGAGTCCTTTTCTGCTGCCCATGTAAACGTGTCACTCCTTCATTTTTCTCTTCTTCCTAACTTCCTTCTTGTTTTAGTACACGTACTCAGCAAGTCACAAAAACCAGTGTTAAAATTCTGTGTTGGGGGAGTGCTACCGTCTGATTTGTAGACTAACAGAAAATAAAGCTTGATAGTTCTCCACACTCAGTTATTGCCTTGGTGAATTTCAATATACTACAACATTTTAATCATCTGGAGAAATTCCTTAATGAGGCTTAAAGATAAGTTGAATATGATGGAAAAAATTAGTTTTTTTCCTAACAAAAATGATAATGGATTGGGCACGTGCTTTGTGACTTTCACTTTGCTTGTTACCAGTATTCAAACTGAATGCAGTATACCAAACTACCTGATCGAGATGCTGGCATGACCTTTTTTAATGTTTCTAAACTGAACAGTTTTTCGTTTTTGCTTTTTTATAAAATGAAACTAACAGTAATGACCTTTTGTAATTACTGTGAGAGTGAAAAGAGAGAATTAGCTGGGCGTCGTGGCGCACACCTGTAATCCCAGCACTCAGGAGGCTGAGGCGGGGGGATCCTCATGAGTTCAAAGCCAGCCTGGTCTACACAGTGAGAGCCTGTCTCAAAAAAAAAAAAAAAGGTGACAAAATAAAAATTAAAAAGGGAACTAGTGGCATAGTCAATGGCAGTTCACTTGCTTAGCATATGTGAGGCCTTGGGTTCACTCCCCAGCACACCCAAAAAGTTAAAAGAGCCTGAGACCCAGAAGTGCTCAATAATAAGCTGAGCATGGTGGTACGTGCCTGAAATTCCAGTGTTTGGAGGGCTGAGGCAGGAGGATGGCTGTGATTCAAGGCTTGCCTGAATTTTATAATAAGGCAAGCTCAGAAAACCGAAAAAAGTAGTCAGTAAGAGGTTATTACTACCATCAATATTATTAAATCCCTGGATAGAGCTGGGTGTGGTGGTGCACACTTGAAGTCCCAATACTTGGGAGGCTGACGCAGGAGTATTACAGGTTCAAGTCTCGCCTGGACAATGTGGCAAGACCGTCTCAAAAGGAAAAGGGCTGGGGGTGTAGGTCAGTGCAAAGGCTCTGAGTTCAACCCCATTATTATTAAATACACCTACACATCCACACTGCGTAGTACTCATTTGGTGTGGCTATATGAAGATTTATATAACTAGTCACGACTCCATTTTTTCTTTGAAGACTCTCTTTTCCTATCAACCTCTATTGTAACTATAATCAGATATGAGCTTGAGCCTCTTGAATACTTTTTTTTTTTTTTTTGGTGCTGGGAATGGAACTCAGGACCTTGCACTTGGCAGGCAAGCGCTGTGCCACTGAGCTATATCACCGGCCCCTGGATACATTCTTTTTCGTTACTTTTAAATACTAGTTAACTGGCGATAGATCTCTAATAGCCCTGATCTGGCTCATTCCATAGCTCCACAGTCATATATCTTACTGCTTACTTGATGTCTCCAATTGGATGTTTCATATATATCTCAAGATATTTGGTTCCCATCTTCATAAACCTATTTTGGTTCTTCCATAGCTGTAAAAAAGCATTAAAATTTGCTCAAACCAAAAATCAGGGAGTTTCCTTGGTTTTTCCCCTGTGTTTATGTCCAGCATTAAGTTCATCAGCAAGTCCTCTGCCATACATCTCGGATCCCACAGAAGCTTGCACCTTCTCACCTAAGTTGCCGCTGTCTTCGGCTTGACGACTTACATTGCCTCCTTACTGATCTTTGTTCGCACTTGTGTCTCCTAGAGTTCATTCTCCCCTAGCAGTAAGACTTTAAATCAGATCATAAGGCTCAGCAGTGTGAAATTCTTCAGTGGCTCCTCATGGAGCTTGGATTAAAATAAAACCTCTGTAAGGTTCTGCTTGATTCGGGCCCTTCCGACTTTTGCTTTCATTTCAGCTTCTTCCTTATTCATGCTCCAGATACAATGACTTCCTTTCAGTTCCATGTAGAGGTTTCCATGCCTTTACATTTGCTCTTCCCCTAACTACCTTCTACTCTTTTTTTGGTCTTTTTGAGACAGGCTTTCTCTGTGCAGTCCAGGCTGGCCTTGAGCTCACTTTGTAGCCCTGGTTGGTCTTGAACTTGCAATGATCCTCCTGCCTCAGCCTCCTGAGTGCTGGGATTACAGGTGTGCACCACCACCGCCTGGCCCTACTCATCTTTAGCTGTGTTTAATGTCACTCCTTGGAGACCATCCCTGACCACCACATCTAAGGTAGCGCCCCCCAGATCTAGTCATTCCATCATGTTAGCCCTCTCTCTCTCTTTTCTTTATAACATCATGTTAGCCCTCTCTCTTTGTGCCTTTCATAAAAGGTCTTACTTGCTGAGCATAGGGGCACACACCAGAATTCCAGCACTCAAGAATTTGAGGCCAACCTGGGCCATGCAAGACTATCTCAAAAGAAAAAAAAGATCTTGTTTTAGCCAGGGATGGTGGCATGCGTCCAGCCAGAAAGAATACTGTTTTTGCCTTGTTGTACTTGAAAACTGTGAGTCTAGCCTCTATGTTTGTAAGTTCCATGCAGCTTTTTTCTTGCTACTGTTGTCTCCAGCACATGGTATATGTGAAGTGCTGGCAAATATTGGAGAAGTGAACGAATGGCATAAGTCCTGTCACGATCTTTCATCTCTGGGCTGGGAGGGGGATGCCCAAGGCCTCCCCATGCTATGTAACCTTTTTTTTTTTTTTTAAACCTGTTTAGCCTTCTCTTGCCAATCCCTGGCCCACCATTCTGCATATCAACCCAAGTCAGCATTATTACATTGCTTTAATGCTTTTGTTTAAAACAGTTGTTCTGGGCATGGTGGTGCACGCCTGTGATCCCAGCACTCGGGAGGCTGAGGCAGAAGAATCAATGCAAGTTTGACGCCAGTCTGAGATAGGAATTGAGTTCAAGGCCAGCCTGAACTGCATAGTGAGACCCTGTCTCAAAAAGACAAAAATAAATAAAAAGGAAAATAAACAGTTGTCCTTTCCCTATGTCTGTCTGGCAAGCACCTGTTCACGTTAATGGTGTTCACTGAAGCTTTTTATTGTAGCAGGAGTTGGAACTCAGGACCTCGTGCTTGCCAGGCAGGCGCTGTGCCGCTGAGCTATATCCCCAGCCCTGAAGCTTTTCTGAACCTCTTCCCTGTTAGTGGGATTGACTACTTCCTCTCTCACCACAGTTGTATCTTTTGCCTGACCTGTACTGGCTGATAGCTCGTCTTCCTACTAAGTAGTGTTTAGGCTCCTGTGACATAAGGTCCTCAGTTGATCAGATAATTATTAAGTGCTTTATACATACATGCAGTGTGCTGGGAATAAGACAGTGTATAAGAACAAGGGCAGGGGCCAGGGATTTAGCTCAGTGGTGCAGCGCCTGCCTGGCAGGCACAAGACCCTGAGTTTGAGTCCTGGTACCAAAAAAAAAAAAGTATAAATTATTTAATTCCCTAATAACACATTTTACAGAGCTTGGAAAAATTGCCCTGTCTTGACTGAGAGTTAGAAAAAGTAACCAAGCTAGAATGTGTAATCTGTGTGACTCCAGAGTCCATGCTTTCTCATTGTATTTTGTTTGTTTATTTGGTGTTTTGGTGACTATATCAGCAATTGCTCTTTAAAATGGAAATGCTGGGGTCTGGGGCTTTAGCTCAGAGGCACAGCGCCTGCCTGGCAAGAGCAAGATCGTGAGTTTGATTCCCAGTACCAGAAAAAAAAAAAACAACCAAAAAAACCTCACCAAAACAGAAATGCAGCCAAGTATGGTGACTTGTGCCCATAACCCCAACACTTGAGAGGCTGAGGCAACAGGCTCACTGTGAGTTTGAGGCCAGCCAGGGCTACATAGTGAGACCCTGTCTCAAAAAAAAAAAAAAACAGTGCCTGCCTGGCAGGCATGAGGTCATGAGTTTGATTCCTAGTACCGAAAATAAAAAGAAAACTAGAGCCTTACTTTGATTTTTAATCTACCAAATTTTTTCTCATAGGGCTATGGCATTTCATCTGTGCCCTCTACTTCCAATTCTAAATCCACCAAGGAGAGTAGTAACACTGCCATCATCAAAAGGTTCAACCATCACAGTGCCATGGTCCTGGCAGCGGGTCTCAGGAAACAGTTAAGTATACCTGCAGAGATGCCATCGCTGGCTCCTCAGGCTCTCCAGGTGGAGTTAGGTGGTGGTGTGGCTTGCTTGTAGTTTCTAACATTAATTTTTTCCCATTTGTTTCAAGAGAAGCACAAAATGAACCAAATGGGGAGCCCAACCGCATGGATGGAAGTTCTGGAGATGGAGACTCCTTTCAGCCGACAGTCAAAAGGGTATGGGCGACAAAATTGGAGCATTTAGGGGTTGGTTTTCCAGATAAAAGATACCAAGAGTATTTTATGTTGCTTAGTTGAAGTGTTTGGCTGCAAATGTAGAGCATTACAAAGTTCCTCAGCTTTGGCTTAGCCAAGTTTGTGTGGACTCAGATCTGTTAACTTTTCACTGGTTGTTTTTTTCCTTTCACATGAATACACACAAATTGTTTTTTGTGTATGGCTTTGCTTTTTGGGAAAGAGTATTCAGCAAAGGAGATAAATAAAATTTGACACATTTACTTGAAAAAGAAAACAAATCTGCCTTCCTTTTAAATGTAGTGTTTTAGAGCTAGACATACCTTCTCATTAAATATTTTTTAAGGGCTGGGGATTTAGCTCAGCGGCACAGCACTTGCCTGGCAATTGCAAGGTCGTGAAAAAAAAAACAAAAATTAAATTTAACAGCAATTTAGCCAGGCATGGTGGTGCACGCTTATAATCCCAGCACTCAGGAGACTGAGGCAGGAGGATTGTTGTGAGTTCGAGACCAGCCTGGGCTACAAAGTGAGCTCAAGGCCAGCCTGAACTGCATAGTGAGACCCTGTCTCAAAAAGACAAGAAAAAAATAAATATTTTTTAAAATTATTCGGGTTTAGCAGGGGCTACTTGCACATTTCTTTCTGAAAATTTGCTCAAATATTCTAAGCCCTCTGTTTTGTAAGCCTCTTTTTCCCAAAGTATAAAAATATGCTATGAGCTGGGCATAATGGTACACACCTGTAATCCCAGCTACTCAGAAAGCTGAGGCAGGAGAATTGAGGCTAGCCAGGACAATTTAGTAAGACTCTTATCTCAGAATTTTTAGTACTAACGCTCTTAATTCTACTTCTGACAGAGGCCCACCTCTGGACATATGTTTTTAGTTTGCAGTGGGTTTATCAGGAATTAACCTCACTGAAAGTGTGGGACAGCCCAGCATGGTGAGCTACATTTGAAATCCCAGATACCCAAGAGGCTGAGGCATGAAAATCACAAGTTTGCAGCCAGCCTTAGCAACCTGAGGTCCTTTTTCAAAAAGAAAGTCGCCGGGCAAGGTGACATATACCTATAATCGTAGCACTCTGAGAAGCTGAGACAGAACCACAAATTCAAGTCCATCCTGGACAGTGTCTGAAATAAAGTTTTCCCGTTGATTTTCCTAATACACAGCACTGGCTAAAAACATTTCCTCAAGTCCGTGGTTCACGGCTGTGTAAGAAATCGAAGTTAGGCTGAGTGTGGTAGCACATGCCTGAAATCCCAGCACTGTGGTGGCTGAGGCAGGAGAATCGCTTGATTTAAGGCCAACCTGAGCTACGTAGTTCAAGGTTAGCCTAAAGACAGTAAGACCCTGTCTCACCAAAAGAAAAAAAAAATTGAAATTAATAGCTGGGTTGGGGATGTGTAACACAGTGTAGAGCATTTAACCCACAAAGTACAAAACTCTGGGTTTGATCCCCAGCAGTGTAAGAAAAAAGGAGAGAAAGGCATAAAGGTCTATCATTGTACCTTGAAGCTTCCTGATAGAGATTGAGAAAGGGTACAAATACGAGGCTGAGTCTGGGTAACACTGTTGAAATAGGGGTACTTTAAAAGTTAAGTTTTCAAATTGACATTTTTTTAGATATAGTGGATAACCTGAATGTTCTGATTCTGTGCTTGGTAGCTACAGGTAAAAGTTGACCAGATGAAATGCATAGCACAACCATAGCTGGCTATATGATACACAATTTTTTTGTCTAACATATTGGCAAAGAATTAAGAGTTCAAGCTGGGTGTGGTGGCACATGCCTGTAATCCCAGCACTTAGGAGTTTGAGGCAGGAGGAACACTGCAAGTTGAAGGCCAGCCTTACTACAAAGTGAGTTCAAGGTCAGCCTGAACCCTGTCTCAAAAAAGACCCCCAAAAAGGAAGAATTCAGTAATCATGTGATCAGAAAATCAGTACTTTTCATGTGGTTGATGAGAAAATTGGTTCAACCATTTATTTATGGGATAGTCATCTCTAGGAAGTAAAGCTCATAGTGGAGAAACTTCCATTTTTCACCAAACTACTACATGGTTTTACTTTTTCAGACATGTTTGTTACTTGTATAAGAAAGTTACTGATCAAAAGTACTATGTTAATAATTTTAGGCAAAGTTACAAGAATCCATTGAATATGAAGATCTGGGAACAAATAATTCCGTAAAAACGATTGCACTAAACCTCAAGAAGTCAGATAGGTAAGTTTGCTCAATGGTAAATAAATTTGAAGCAGAATAGTTATGTAACAGGTCACTGCAGAATATATTCTGCAAGTGTAGCACTGAGTTTTTTAGTCAATTTATCACCATAAAAGTACAGCATCACTTTCTCTAAAGTTACTTCTGTAGGCCAGATGTGGTGCTGCATGCCTCTAACCCTAGGTTGAGGCAGGAGAAGCCCTGTGATTTTGAGGCCAGCCTGGGCTACAAAGTGAGCTCAAGGCCAGCCTGAAGTGCATAGTAAGACCCTGCCTCAAGATAAAAAAAATTTTTTCTCTGCCTCCCCCGCCGTCCAGTTTTTTTTTTTTTTAACTTTTGTATATTTCAAGAAATTATCCTAGCCCTGCATGGTGCCGCACGCCTGTAATCCCAGCACTTGAGAGGCTGAGGCAGGAGGATCGTTGTAAATTTAAGGCCAGCCTGGGCTACAAAGTGAGCTCAGGCCCAGGGATATAGCTCAGCAGCATAAGCACTTGCCTGGCAAGCCTAAGGTGATGAGTTCCATTCCCAGTACCAAAAAAAACAAAAAAACAAAGTGAGTTCAAGACCAGCCTGAACTGCATAATGAAACGCTGTCTCAAAAAGACAAAATAGAAAAGAAATTATCCTAAATGATGAAAGCCAGAAAATACTAATTTTGCGTGATTGTTTCTTATTTCTCTTATGGGAACGGTTTTATTAAAATAGCTGTGGGGGCTGGGGATTTAGCTCAGCGGCAAAGCGCCTGCCTGGCAAGCGCAAGGTCGTGAGTTCGGTTCCTGGTACCGGAGAAAAACCAAAAAAAAAAAAAAATAAAATAGCTGTGGAGGGGGCTGGGGATTTAGCTCAGTGGCACAGCACCTGCCTGGCAAGCACAACGTTGTGAGTTCGATTCCCGGTACCGGAAAAAAAACAAAAAAATAAAATAAAATAGCTGTGGAGTTTTTTTCAGGGGGAGGTTGGTTTTTGTTTTATTGGATGGTGGTTTTTGCTTTGAAGAGAAATGTTTTGACCACTAAAATGCTGGTAAGTCAGATATTGAGCACCTCCACCATCTGTGAGTGGTTATTTTCTCTGTGCTAACTTTCAGGTATTACCATGGTCCAACTCCAATCCAGTCAGTACAGTATGCAACAAGTCAGGACATTATTAATTCTTTTCAAAGTATTAAACAAGAAATGGAAGCTTATACACCCAGGTTAACTCAGGTAGGTAACTTCTATTTGAAGTCCAGAATTTCTTACTATAGTTCCTGCTTCAATATATGAGCACAGCCAGAATGAACTAGTAATAAATCGGATTTAAAGATACTATTTCTACCAAATGAATTTTTTAAAATGAGGACGTAGGGAGAAAAGGTGCTTGGCATATCAAGAATCATCTAAATGTAATGAAGAATAATGAGTAATTTGATTCCAAGTTTTTCACTTCTACTGGGAGTATCTCCCAAATTGCCAGACTACTTCAAGACATTACTCTGGATGTCCTGCATAAGCTCAAACTCAGAGCAGACAGATAAGATGGAGCTCATTCTCTCTTCGTTTTTCTCACCCTTCACATTTCAGTGAGCAGTTCTGACAGTTCTTCTTTCCATATTTCTTGACTCCATCAACTTAGTTTTTAGGCAAATTTGATAAACTTTTCACAGTATCAGTGCAAGTTATTTCTTCTTTTTTTCTCTTTTTTTTTTTTTTTTTTTTGTGTGTGTGTGTGTACAGGGAATCAAACTCATGACCTTACATTTGCCGATCAGGCACTTGTGCCACTGAGCTGTATCCCCGGCCCCAGTGCAAGTTATTTCTAGAAATATGTATTGATCTTATCTGCAGTTTCAAAGTCCTTCACTACCTCCCTTCATTTCTGTAGTAATAATCCAAATGTCTTTTCTGGCGTGCAAAACCAGATTCATATCTTACATTTTTAAATCAAATCTATGTATACATAAATTTCTATCATTAAACTGTCCATTGGAAAGTAGACATACTAATCCTACAGCTGTTCGCCTAATGATTTATCCCTTCTATAGGTACCTGGCACTTGTGCAGCACTATATGTCCATAAATATTGATACTGATACTGTGAGAATGTATTTTCCCCTTTTAGTTATGTTTGTTCATTTACTTGAAAATTAAAGGGGCTGAAAGGATAGCTCAGTGGTAGAGCACTTGTCTAGCATGTGCAAAGCCCTTGATTCAGTCCCCCTCACCATAAAAAAAAGAAAGAACAAATAACATACTCCTATTCTGGTGATATTTTTTTTTCTCCAGTGCCTATCATGGATACATGTTGACATGTTGTGTTTTGCATTGCCTGTTATTGAGCCCAGGACTTCACAACATGCTAAGCATAAGCTCTGCCTTTGAGCTACATTCTAGCCTATTAATACATTTTACTTGTTTGCTTCCTTTAAACTCAGTTTTACTTTCAGTTGTTGGGTTGGTGCTTAAGTGGAAAAGCTTGTAAGTTTTGAGTTTGTAGTGGACTTACCTGTTAGAATAGCCCCCTTTATCCACAGGAGACACCTTTCAAGACACCCAATGGATGCTGCAGAGCAAACCTTTTAATTTAATGCCTTTTCTATTTTAAATAACTGCTTACTGGGCACTATGGTTGTAGCATAGCAGATGGAGGTACAACAGCAAAAAATAGCATGAATTTCTTTTTACTTCTTCACAGCTCACACACAGATGATTTCTTTCTAACATAGATCTTAGTAATCTCAGCACTTTGTCTTTCCCTAAGTCCAGAATTTTCCATTAAATAAAGGAAGCAATTTATGGCTTCTCTTCAGCATATCTGAGTTGCTAGTATCAGTGTTCTCCCCCTTTGGGGCCACTATTCAGTAAAACAAATGTTACGTACCAGCACTGTAAATACTGAGCAGTAGATCTGGTAACTGAGATGAGTACTAAGTGACCACAGGCTGGATAGTGTATACAGCATTTAAGTTCTGGACAAGAGGTTGGTTCCGTTCTAGTCAGGACACGGTAACATACCATGTTATCCTGCTACTCAGAACTGCACTCGGTGTGAAACTCACCAACTGTTTCTTTTGGAACTTCCATTGAACGTCGTCAGACCACAGCTGACTATAGGTAGCTAAAACTTCAGAAAGCAGAACGCTGATAAGAGGGAGTACTGTGTTCCTAGAGGATAGATTTTCTGCACGGATCATTTCTGGCCTGGAGGAAGGTAGTTAACTGTGGTAGCTGTAAATGGTGCTTGTATACAGGAGTAAATGCTTTACTGTTCGCTGTAAAACAGTGATCGAAAGATGGCAAAAAGGGAAATCTCTTTTCTTTCAGGTTCTCTCAAGTAGTGCTGCTAGTAGTACTATCGCAGCACTGTCACCTGGAGGAGCACTTATGCAGGGAGGGACACAGCAAGCCATAAACCGTAAGTGCTGGGCCACCTTTGAGTGCTCAGTTGTATTGGCTTTGGTTTGGGGGCAGTTCTGGGTCTTCGCTGAGCACTTACTTTGGGTCCATTGTACTTGGAGTTGAACCAGGGTCTCTCGGGTGCTAACCATGTGCTCTGCCACAGAGGTACACACACCCCGGTGCCTTGAGCAGTCCTTGTCCTTTTGCAGACTGTAGATGTGTGAAAATACCCTGTGGCCTCTTCCTTTTGCAGAGATGGTGCCAAATGATATTCAGTCTGAATTGAAACACTTGTATGTGGCTGTTGGAGAACTTCTTCGGCATTTCTGGTCCTGCTTTCCTGTGAATACACCATTCCTAGAAGAAAAGGTGGGAGCCAGTTCTAAGCACGGCCAGTTACTGTAGTAGAGGCGTAGGTGTTACTTTGAAATAGGAAAATACTACTGAGTATGTATTATGTGCTATATACTAATGTAACTATTTGGCATACATTATTTCAATTAAGCCTCACAGGGTCTTTATGGAGTATTTTGATTATACTCATTTCATAGGCTAAGAAACGAAGACCCAGCTGGGTGTGGTGGTGCACACCTGTAATCCCAGCACTCAGGAGCCTGAGGCAGGAGGATCAGTGCAAGTTCGAGACCAGCCTGGGCTACAAAGTGAGCTCAAGGCCAGTGTAAATTGCACAGCAAGACTGTGTTTCAGACAAAAAAAAAGAAAGAAACTGAGACCCAGACCAGTTGTATAACTGATAATCGTGCAGCTTAAACCTACCTCCAGCCACAATAAATTGAATAAACAGATACCAAGTACAAATTACATGAAAAATATATCACATACATAAATTTGTTTATTTGACCAGGCATGGTGGTGTGTACCTGAAATCCCAGCATTTGGGAGGCTGAGGCAGGAGGATTGCCGCAAGTATGAGGCCAGCCTGGGCTAATAGTGGACTCAAGGCCATCTTGAAGTACACATAGTGAGACCCTGTCTCAGAAAACCAAAAATAAAATAAAATTTTAAAAGAATCATTGAGCTGGGTATTTAGCTTAGTGGCACAGCGCCTGCCTGGCAAGTGCAAGGTTGTGAGTTCGATTCCCAGTACCAGAAAAAAAACAAAAAGAAACATTGATTTGCTGGGCGTGGTGGATTATACAAGACCTTATATCAAAACATGCAATAAAAAAGAATGAAAGTAAATACCTCACTAAAAATACCACATGCCTATAATTCCAGCATGCTTGAGGCTGAGGCAGGAGGATCGACGTAAGTTCAAGGCCAATGTGGCCTACATAGTGAGACCCTGTCTCAAAATAAGTTATTGATTTGATACATTTAATAATGAAGTCCAAAATGAGGACTGACAAACAGCACTGCCTGTTTATTGCTTTTTCTTTTTTAGTGCTTCACACTGAATTCAGAACCTAGACAAGCACATTATTCCTGACCTATAACTCCAGCCCCGGTACTGTTTAATACTACAACCTTTAAAGCAAATCAGAGTTGACAAGTAGAAAAATATAGCATTGATTTCTCCTTAAAACAATCATTAAGAAAAAGACACAGAGCCAGGCATGGTGGCTGTAATTCTAGCACTGAGGCTGAAGCGGGAGGATCATCACATGAGTTCGAGGCCAGCCTGGGCTACATAGTGAGTTGGAGCCCAGTTGAAGGGAGACCCTGTGCCCAAAAAAAAAGAAAATAGAAATATCCAGGGTAGTGGTATAGCTTAGCGCACGTACACAGCCTTCAGTTCAATGCCCCACACCCCCAAAAAAGCACAAAAAGAAAATCCTCACTAAAAATACCACGCAGATCCAGGCATGGTGGTACACACTTATAATTCCACCTACTTGGGAGTCTGAGGCAGGCGGATCGTAAGTTTGAGGCTAGCATGAACAGTTTAGCAAAACTCTGTCTCAGAGAGTTGGAGAAAGGGGGCTGGGGGTATAGCTCAGTGGCACAAGCACCTGCCTGGCAAGCACAAAGTCCTGAGTTTGATTCCTGGTCCCCCCCGCAAAAAAAAATCATCCTAAAGAGTTGGAAAGGGCCTGTGGGTGTAGCTCAGTGGTAAAGTGCTTGTCTAACATATACAAGGTCCTGGGTTCAGTCCTAAGTACCACAGAAAAAATAGAAGATCTACTAAGCAACTGGTTAAAGACTAGCCGAGCGTGGTGGTGCACACCTGCAGTCCCAGGACTGGGGAGGCTGAGGCAGGATTGCTGTGAGGGCAAGGCCAGCCTGAACCATATAGCAAGATCTTGTGTCACATACCTTCCCTGCAAAAAAGAATAAATGCTGCTGCTGGGCATGGTAGTGCATGCCTGTAATCCCACCTCGTAGGAGGCTGAGACTGTTCAAGGCCTGCCTGGGCAATTTGGCAGTTTACTGAAACACTGTCTCAAAAAAGGGCTAAGGGGAAAAAAGGTCTGGGGACATAGCTGAGGACAAAGACCCTAGGTTTAATCCCAGGTACTGCCAAAAAAAAAAACTACCAGGCATGATGGCACATCTGTAATCCAGTACTCAGGAAGCTGAGGCAGTTGGAGGCCAGCCTGGATTATACAAGACTTTATATCAAAACATAGAATAGGGGCTGGGGATTTAGCTCAGTGGCAAAAGCGCCTGCCTGGCAAGCGCAAGGTCGTGAGTTCGGTTCCCGGTACCGGAGAAAAACAACAACAACAAAAAAAACATAGAATAAATGTAAATGGCCAATAAACTTAAAGAGGGGGCAGGGATATAGCTCAGTGGCACAGCACCTGCCTGGCAAGCACAAGGTCCTGAGTTCAATTCCTGGTACAAAAAAAAAAAAAACTTGAGGTAGTTTTTAGACTTACTTACAATTTAAAAATATTTGGTGAAAGAATATTTTTCACCTATTAATTTGCAAAAGAACAACAACAACAAAATTCAGTGTTGGCCAAGTTCCTAAAAGTTCTTTTTTCCATTGGCTATAAATTCTTTAACATAGAAATTCACTGTGTAGAAATTTAGCCTATTACAGTGTGGTGCATGTGTGTAATCCCAGCACTTGGGAGGCTGAGGCAGGAGGATCACTGCAAGTTTGAGTCCAGCCGTAACTACAGTGAGACCTTGTCTCCAGAAAAAAGTAAAAATTTACCCTATGCAAATAATAACATATGTAATTGACCACAGAAATGTTCCTCTACTGTCAGGCATGGTGGTACATGCTGTAATCCCACCTCTCAGGCTGAAGCAGAAGGATTGCAGTGAGTTCAAGGCCAGCCTGGGATACATAGGGAGTTAAAAGGCCAGCCTGAACTACCTAGTGAGACCCTGTCTTAAGAAAAAATAAAAAAGTTCATCTCTGAGTAGGGGATCTGAGTAATGGATAACGTTTTTATTTTCTTTTACATGTTCTTAAAAATTTTCTGTAGCAAAAGTAAACTCACACAGAATGTAGGTAGCATTTATCCCTGGGTCCCCACAGGCTATTTGGTATCTCTCTGTAATTCACTGTTTCTCATCTTTTTTAGGTAGTGAAAATGAAAAGTAATTTGGAACGATTCCAAGTTACAAAGCTTTGCCCATTCCAAGAAAAAATTCGGAGACAGTATTTAAGCACAAACGTAAGGCAACAATCTGATTTTGATCTTTTTCATTTTTTTGCAGTAAAATGTGAGATTGATTTTTGCTTTCACATAAATGAGTAGACACTTTGTCCTCCTCTTTTGCTCATTATTACCGTTCTTTAAATTGTAAGTGCTATGCACGCAGAAGTATGTAAAATACGTGTTCTCACCAGTCGGGACAAGTAGTGTGATGTTAGTCACTCTGAGGTATTCTGAGTGTCCTGCCTAGTTGCATACCACTGCCTCCTAGGTCATAACTACCCAGGCATTTGTGATAATTATCTCCATGTTTTTCCTTATAGATTTATGATCTGTGCATATAGAGCTAAAAATCTGTAGTCAGCAGCTTACTAAGATCCTGTCTTAAGGAGAAGAGATAGAAGGGCCAGGGATATAGCACAGCAGCACAAGTACCTACCTGAAAAGCATAAGGTCCTGAGTTTGCTTCCCAGTACCAAAAAAAAAAGTATGAGCAACCTGGACTCCATCCCTAGTACTGAAAAAACACAATAAAAATAATTGGCACTCTTACGTCGGGCATGGTGGTGCACACCAGTAATCCCAGCACTCAGGAGACTGAGGCAGGAAGATTGCTGCAGGTTCGAGGCCAACTGAACTACATAGCTAGACCCTTATCTCAGCAACAACAAGAAAAATAATAGGCAAATTGGGCATTGTGGCACATGCCTGTGATCCCAGCGCTCTGGTGGCTGAGGCAGAAGGGTCCTTGTGAGTTTGAGGCCAGCCTGGGCTGCAGAGTGAGTTCAAGTGAAACCCTCTCAAAAAGACATACACACACTTACACACAACAACAACAAAAAAAGTTAGTGTGATCCTGTCCATCCATGATGAAGGCAGAATCCTTCTCCACTCAGATACCTGTAGTCCTAGCCTAAGGTTTACCGTCACACATTATGTAAAACATTGGACCCATTTAGGTTTTCTGTAATCTACTGAGTTACATTGTAATCATGAAATGCTGGAGCTGAAAAACACCTTAAAAAGCAGGAAAGTTTCTGGGCATGATGGTGCTCACCTATAATCCCAGCATTCGGAAGGCTGAGGCAGGAGAATTGCTATGAGTTCAAGGCCAACCTGAACTGCATAGTGAAACGCTGTCTCAAAAAGACACATAAACACACACACACAAAACAGGAAAGTGCTTCATAAAATTGTGCAGGAGCTTTTGAAAGCAAAGATCACTGAGGACTGAAGATGTAGCTCAGTGGTAGAGTACATGTGTAGTGTGTACTGCCAGGAAAACGTTCCTGAGTTGCATCCCACCCCTCTGAGTTAAAATCAGGAGAGAACCAGCATTTTTCCGATGTGCTGTAAAGATAATACACCCCACCACCATCCTGGCCTTGGTTGGCAGACCAGTCAATAGCTCAGTTCAGCTCCTTCATTTGACAGAAGAGACTGGGGCCTGTGGTATTTATAACTGTCACACTGTCGCATGGTTGTTAAGGATAGTGTAGACTTGACAACCCAGACAGAACAGTGCATTTCCATCCCTTGCATCCCCCTCACTCCCTTTTCCATGTGAAATGAGTCTACTAAGACCTCTGCAGAGGACTTGTGCACTGCCTCAGCGACTAGGAAAGCCCTGAGGAGCTGCGACAACATGCTCAGAGTGGGGGCCAGATTCGCGTCCGTTGCCTGTGCCTGTCGTTACGTGTCTTGCTGTGTCTTTCAGTTGGTAAGTCATATAGAAGAGATGCTGCAGACGGCCTACAACAAGCTCCACTCGTGGCAGTCACGGCGCATGATGAAGAAGACGTGAGGTGTCTGTGGCGCTCACAGGTTGTGTGACATGGCGAAAACTGTGACCTGCGGGACTCTGGAAACCTGGCCTGACATGCAGGTGACCACCAGGGAGTAACGAGAAACATCTGCACCGCACCAACTCCCAGAGCTGATGCTATTGTACTTGCACATTGAGAACTGAGAGGAAGGAAGGGACCGTGCTTCCGCTAATCTCTGGGGAGGTAAATTAAGGCAGAACCAAAATGAGCTGAGTTGCAAATATATATGTATATGTGTGTACATGTATGTGTGTACATGTATATGTATTTAAAGACTGTTTACTGCAGTTACTCAGGAACTGCTTTTGATTCACATTAAGCTGCTTTCAGAAATATAAAAAAAAAAAAAACACTTTTTTAAAGGGTGCATTAAAAAAATCTGAGGTTTTTTGGTTTTGTTTTGTTTTTCATTGTAAATTTTTTTCCTCAGTTTATGGCACAGGGTAGTCCTTAAGTACTTCTCCTCATCCTCCACTTGCATCCTCGAGTTCTCCTGAATCCTAGTTGTACCTTAGATCAGCAGATTAAAGAGAGTACTTTCCAGTAAAGCAGAGGGAGACTGTTGCTCAACCATCAGGAAACAGTTGTAGTCAGAAGACATCACTTGGTCCTGTGTTTCCTACGGAAATAAGAAACATAAATAATTGCACTGAATGTTTGTGGTTGGAGTCCCTAAATAAAGGGGGGATATTTGCCGAAAGTCGCGTGGGTTTTAATGCAGAATTTTGTCAGAAGACAAATAGCACTGCATGTTTTTGTTTGAGTGCAAATGTATATTGCTAAGATTTTTTTTAAAAGATGGCATGTGCTTTGAAAAGAGGAGATTGCATTTTTAAGAGTTTAAAAATCTTACAAGTGAGAAATATAAAAAAAAAACTTACTTATTTTCACCTCTTTAGAAGAAATAAAAGATGTTTCTCATACCTCCTTTTCTCCAGTATCTGACTTACTGTCCTTGGCGTACCGATAATCATTGCATAGTGACTTGAAAAGCCTAAACGCAAAAAATATATGTGTGTGTTCTCATTTCTAGAATTCTTGCTAATTTTGTTCCTATAGGATCAACTCACTTTTTACCTAAGACTTTAGATACTTGTATTAAAAGTTATACATAAAGTAAAACTTTTACAGATACTCTTTTAATTGGAACACGTCTTGTGATTTCTCATCTTGATAACTTCCTTGGGTGGGCTGCTCAAGGACTAGCCATCCTTTTGTTTTGGCACATGTTTGTAGTACGTGAAGTTTACATTTACCTTGGGGAGGGGGTACATAATGCAGTCAGTGTCTTTTTTTAATTCCCCGCCCTGCCCACCTCAAGCCCTCTTTAAATCCCCTTTTCCATCTTCTTTCTCATTGATACTAGTCTAAGCTTACGTTCAGTGCATGTATTATTTACATACATTGAGGCTATTTAATGCAGCTTTTTGCATAATCTTTTTTGCACTAGTTTATTTTATTGGTACGTTCTAGACATACAAAATGATCACATTCATCATAGGGAGTTTGTACCTGTACATGGTGTATCTTGCTGCTGCTTTTTTTCCCATTCCCCCTCCTCCCTTCCAGCTCTCCTCCCCTCCTTGTGTGCAAAAGCTTCTTTTTCTTCTATTGGCTTTTTCTTTTCTCGTCCCTTCTTTCCTTTCCCTCTTCCCCTCCCTCGTTCCCGTATGTTGAGATTATTATATCCATTCTTTTAAAAGCCGTATTACAAGCTGATTATCTCCAATATAATGACAACAAAGGCCAGAATTATTCAGACTTTGATTTGGTAAAAGAAGCCACATCACCTTACAGATTCACTTTTAAAGAGCTTTTTAAATGTATTACTACTGCAGTTACTCTTAATAGCAGTGGTGAAAACAGAAAAAAAAAAAACGTTTAAGAAAGTCAGTCTGTTGGGAAGGGCAGGCGGTAATCAAATGAAATGCTGTGTTGGGTGCTGTGTTAAAGATTAAGGGTTCATATAATGAAGCTTAAAGGAGAAAAGGCAATTTGGGGAAGTTTGGTTGGGTTCATTAAAAATACAGCATTTTAGCTAAGCCTTGGAGGTTAAATTCGCAAGCTAGAAAAGAAAGTCTTTGTTTCTAGACTGGGGAGCGTGGTGAAGGTGTAAAGGTTTGAAAGGCTTCACTGTGTTAGGGGAACAGGGAGAATTTGTTCAGTCAGGCTTCCTTGTAACAAGTGAGAGGCTGGGAGGTGGTTATACAACTTGTGAATTGCTTCGTATGTCAAGGTTAGATACCAGACCTTACCCATGAGGCATACAGGACCTGAGAGAGAAAAGTTCAAGCATATAAATCGTTTCTATGGTTTAAGGTTCTGGCAGTTAGAGAAAACAGAACATGAGATACTTTGGAATAATCCAGACTGGAAATTAGATCAAAATTAAGTGTAGCAATGCTAGTAAATGGAAAGGGAATGGGAATGGGCGGTAAGTAAAATTCCTAAAGTGTGTGTGGCCAAATCTTACAAGGAGTGCAGGAACCAAGGGTGGTTTCACCAGAAATAGCTCTTAATTTTGTATCTAGATTGCAAGTAGAGCTTTGGAGTTCGTTAAAAATGAACATCATGGCAGGCGTAGTGGCAAATGCCTGAAATCTCAGTGCTTCAGGAGGCTGAGGCAGGATGACTGCAAGTTCCAGGCTAGACTACAGAGCAAGACCCTGTCCCAAAGTTTAGAAATAAATAAAAATTTTAGTCTGTTAATTTGTATTTGTGATAATTAACTTGATAAAGTTTTAAAAATCTGATGCTGGCAAAAACGGTAAGTTTTTAAGAAGGGGCTGGGGATAGAGTCTTGGGCAAAGGCCCTGGGTGGGTTCAATTCCTAGTACAAAAAAAAATATACCTTTACCTGGTCATGATGGTACCCACCTGTATTTGAAACTACTCAGAAGATGAGGCTGGAGGACTGCAAGTTCAAGCCCACACTGGGCAACTAAGCAAGACCCTGTCAAAAATATAAAAAAGTTTAGGGATGTAGCTCCGTGTTAAAGCAGCTTACCTAGCGTGCACCAGGCGCTGGGTTCCGTTCCCAGTACTGCAGCAAAAGCGACTTCAGCAGCACTGTAGCCTCCTAGAGCCCCTGCCCTACCCCACCTCTATCCCATTCTGGAAATAAGGGCACCTCTTGCTGACGGAGCCACTGCAAACCAGGTTGTGCCAAACATTTCTGCTGCGTGTCACTTCACTCAGCAACCGATGGACAGGGGGACATGATTTCACAGGTTAGAACCGGTTTACGGGGCTGCAGTGCAAGGCCCAGCACCACACACACATTTAGAAGTTAATTCACCCAAATCCACACAGCCGGTAAGCGGCAGGCTTGCCCTAAACTGCTGAGGCTTCTCCGATCGCTTCGGGGCATGATGTCTGACGATAGAGGTTTTACTCTTAAACCCGGGCTTCCATGCCTGGTTTCTCCCTGTGGACCACTCTTGTTCCTGCTTCAGTATTCTGTGCAAGTCACACGATGGGCTTATCTGCCTAGTAGGACTCATCGGCCCAGAGGGTGTCTAATGTAAGACGAAAACCTGTCTTACCTTCAGAGGAAGAGTTTTTTCTGACAAGAAGCTTCGCGTCAGTGTAAGTCCGTTTTGAACTTACACTGCAAACCAGTAGGTACCTTGTGGTACTCAGTCCAGAAGAAAAACGTGTTGGAACATCAACGCCTAGGACAGTAACCTGCACTTTGGGCTAAGAGCTTAATGCAGACAGTGGTGTCCTGTTGGCACATGCGCTGTGTTGAGCTGACCGCCCCCTGTGATGGTAAGCTGCCCATTTTAAACTTAGATTTGCTGTCTCCAGACTGAGGCTTGCAGGGATTCCTCAGCATTACCTCTGCCCTTTCCCAGTTTAGCTCCTTCAAGACTCAGCTGTTCTCCCAGTTCTTAAGGCCAGGGAAGACTTATTTTCAGCTCTTAAGCTGTCCAGAGCTGGAGCATTGCCTGGGACCTAGTTAAGGAGTGATCAGCCTTAGTTGTTTGTATGAAAGTCAGAACCCCATTTCCTTCCACAGAAAAGACAAGAAATCTTACCATCGGGTGGCCTTCAAAGTTTGTTAGCCGCAGAGCCTTGTTTCTGTGCAGTCTTTCACAGACCCCTCATACATGCGATAGCCGTGGGACTGTACCTATTGAGATCCAGCTCCTCCCATCCCTCCTAGGGAATACGAGAAAACCCACAACCCCCTCCGCCACCCTGGCAGCCTGCTGTCTATGTTAGGAAACGTAGACGGAATGGACAAAGTGAAGTATAAATTCTGGCTTAAATTTAACTTAATCTCTTGTCACAGAATAAGTGTCAAAATAGTAGACTTAAACCCTGTTGTATCATTAAGTGTGAACAGACAACAGACAAGTTAAAACACAAGACTCGGGTCTTGAGGCATGGTGGCACTCACCTGTAATCCCAGCTTGCTGGGAGGCTGAGGCAGGAAGATTGCAAGTTTAAGCCCAACCTGGACAGTTTACAAGATGCTGTGTCAAAATTTTTGAAAGGACTGGCTGGGAAATTGGGTCAGTGCAAAGGCCTGGGGCCCAATCCCTGGCATGCGTGTGCATACATAAACTGTGTGCTGTCCTTATCTCACTCGACCTGCTTCCCATCAGCTGCCTGAGGTTTTCTGGGTGTAAAGTTCAAAGGCTTTTCGTACTAAAAGCATTTCTCCCAGGTGTCTATCCCCTTCCTTACCCCTAAGCCTCACTCTTGTGGTAGCAGTGCGCTTTGCTCTGGACAGTCTTCCATGCTCTTACTCGTTTTCTGACCAGCAGGTTGTTCTGATAACGCAATCTGTACCTGTGCTCATGGCTAGGCCTGCAGGATAATCCTCTACAAAAGGTGAACCCCGTCTCCTTGTGCATTTTGTTTTTTGTTATTTGGTAGTAGTGTTTTCCTTCTTGTGAATTTTGGTCCTAGCCATTATTTTCTCATTTCCGGCACCTGGCTCATGAGAACAGACGGGGCCAAATACAAATCTTCAGAATTATACCAAGGAGATCTTTATCACCCTGAGCACTTGGACGCACATCACAGAGAGTAGAGAGGAAGTAGAGTTCGTTGGCACTGGCGGCGGTGGAGACAGAGATGGCTTCCAGCGGAGCGCAGACGATGGACTTCGGCTGTTGGGTTCACGTCCCAGCTGCCCAGCTCACTAGCTGTGTGGCCTTGAACCATTTCATCTGTCCAGGCCCGAGTCTTTCGGTCCACAGAATGGTCCTAGGAGTAGCATGTAACTGATAGGGGCTGTGAGGACAGCAGACACTTGGAGCAGAGTCTGGCACAGGAAAAGGGCTAGGTGTATTCGCTGGGATTCAGGCTGCATAATGACCCACACCCATGCAGTGAAAAGCCCCAGCAGCTCCTTGACATTTAACCTGAGAAGCGTAACGGGAGAAAGCTCCGGTGATGGGCTGAGAGGCAGAGATGTTGCCTGTGCCCAGCACGAGTGAGGCCCTGGGTTCGATCCCTAGACCACAGAATATGCTGAGTGAGCAGGAAAGCAGCCTTGTAACTTGATCCAACAGGTGCAAAGGGTTTATCTTCAAAACATAGTCATAGGCTTAGGCTTCCACTAGCACGTCCCTGGCCTAAATATGGTGGTCTGACATCAAAATAGTTTCAATGCTGGGGATGTAGCTCAGTGGTTGAGTGCCTTCCTGGCATGTGTGAAGCCCTGGTTCAATCCTCAGCATCATTTAAGAAAAAAAAAAAAGCCAAGCTGGGGGCATGCTGCTAGAGACCTGTGGTCCCGGCACTCCAGGAGACTAAGACAGGAGGATCTTAAATGCAAACCCACCCTGGGCCATTGAGCAATTTAGACCCTGTCTCAAAACAAAAAAGCACTGGGGATGTAGCTCAACACAAAGGCTGTGAATTCAGGTACATGTCAGTAATCCCAGGCCCTGGGCATGGTAGTGCGTATCTATAATCCCACACCGGGGAGGCGGAAGCAGGGGGATCACTATAAGTTGGAGGCCAGCCTGCGCTACGTAGTGAGTTCAAGGTCAGCCTAAATTAATGAAGTGAGACCCCGTCTCAAAAGAAAAAAAAAGTCCTAAGTTCAATACCCAATACAGGGCTGGAGGTGAGGGGGTCACAGTTTTCATTTAGGCAAGAAAGAATTTCTTTAAGAACATAAATCCAGGGGCTGGGGATTTAGCTCAGCGGCAAAAGCGCCTGCCTGGCAAGTGCAAGGTCGTGAGTTCGGTTCCCGGTACCGGAGAAAAAAACCAAAAAAAAAAGAACAAATCGGGGGGCTGGGGATTTAGCTCAGAGGCAAAAGCGCCTGCCTGGCAAGCGCAAGGTCGTGAGTTCGGTTCCCGGTACCGGGAAAAAAAAAAAAAAAAAAAAAAAAAAAAACATAAATTGGGCATGGTGGTACATGCCTGCAATCCCAGCACTCAGAACACTAAGATGGGAGAATTGCTGTGCGTTCAAGTCCAGCCTAGGCTACATAGTGAGTTTAAGGCCAGCCTGAGTTATACTGTTAGACCCTGTTTAAAAAAAGAAAGTTAATTTCTAAAAACATAAATGGTGACTCATGTTCTGTGTTACATGAATAGATTAGTAAAAGTAATTTAATGTATGCTAAAGTGCTCAAGTTCTACAGTTCAACTGCCTGGGATCAAACCCCAACCTTACCACCTAATAACTGTGTGCTTACTTGTCTGTGTTTGTTTCTTAATTTGTAAAATGGTCATGATATAGTACTTTAGAAGATTTACTGTGAAGGTTAAATGAGCTAATAATAAAGTGGCTGAAGTGGTGCCTATAATCCCAGCTACTCAGGAGGCTGAAGCAGGAGGATCACAGCCAGACCTTGTCCCAAGATAAAAAGGGCTGGGGGGGGGGGTGGCGCACACCTGTAATCCCAGCACTCTGGAGGTTGAGGCAGGAGGATCATTGTGAGTTCCAGACCAGCCTGGGCTACAAAGTGTGCTCAAGGTCAGCCTGAACTGCGTAGTGAGACCCTGTCTCAAAAAGACAAAAAAAATAAAAAAGGGCTGGAGGATGTAGGCCAGTGTAAAGGCTCTGGGTCCATGCCCAGTACTGGGAGGAAAAAGCTCCTAATGCAAGTGCCAGGCCCAAAATTGAGAGTTCAATAAATGTTCTTCATCTCATGTATAATTCACCATTGGCAGGCTTCTGTTAGAGCTTCATGACTCAGCTGGTGTATAATATCAATATTGGTAGAGCTGGGACAGACAGGCAAAGAAACAAATTAAATCTAAGAGATCTAAGTAGATGCATTTCACAAATATCTGTCATACATATGACATCATATTTAATCCTTAGAATTCTTCAACAAAAGAAATTTTCTTTGAACTGCAGATTGTACTCAGAGCCTTTTCACTGAGTTTCCTCCCCAGATGTTTTTCGTTTTGTTTTTTTTTTTTTTTGATAAAGAGCCTTGCTAAATTAATTACCCAGGGCCGGGCGTGGTGGCGCATGCCTGTAATCCCAGCACTCGGGAGGCTGAGGCAGGAGGATGGTTGTAAGTTCGAGACCAGCCTGGGCTACAAAGTGAGTTCAAGGCCAGCCTGAACTGCATAGAGAGACTCTGTCTCAAAAAGACAAAAAAATTTAAAAATAAAAATTAATTAATTAATTACCCAGGCTGGGCACAACTGTGATCCTCCAGCCTCAGCCTCCCAGAGTGCTGGGATTATAGAAGTAGGCTGCACCCCACCCCGGCCCACTCAACAACTATGGTGCATCCATAGTTGTGATCCTCCTGCTTCAGCCTCCTGAGTAGCTGGGATTATAGGCACCACTTCAGCCACTTTATTATTAGCTAGTTTAACCTTCACAGTAAATCTTCTAAGTACTATATCATGACCATTTTACAAATTAATTAAGTCTATAGATCTTACTTATGAAGTCTCAGGTTATTAATAAGTACTAGATGGCCAGACGTGGTGTGCACGCCTGTAATCCCAGCACTCGGGAGGCTGAGGCAGAAAGATATCCTTGAGTTCAAGGCCACCCTGAACTACACAGAGAGACCCTACCTCAAAAGAAAAAGAAAGGTGCACTAGGTGATAGGTTTGGAAGAGTCGTGGCCCTCATGGGGTTTGCCGAAGAATAAATATATGTCTATAATCCCAGCACACTACTTGGGAGACAGAGACAGAGGATTGCTGTGAGCTGGAGGCTACCCTGGGCTACACAGTAAATCCAAGGCCAGCCTGGACTACATATCAAGAACCTGTCTCAAAACACCAAAGAAAGTCGGGCATAGTGGTGCATGTAATCCTAGCACTTGGGAGGCTGAGGCAGGAGGATCACTTCAGATTGGAAGCCAGCCAGGCTACATAGTGAGTTCAAGGTCAGCAGGAGCTACATAGAGACCCTGTTTTAAAGAAGAAAAACTGAGGCTCAGAGAAGCGAAGCAACTTGCCTAAAGGCCCCGATTCCAACTTGGGAGTGGGGAGATGAGAACCAATCAGCTCTTTTTTTTTTTTTTTTTTTTGCGGTACCAGGGATCGAACTCAGGACTTTGCTCTTGCCAGGCAGGCGCTGAGCTATATCCCCCGCCCCCAATCAGCTCTTGAGTGCAGAATCTGTGCAGCCTGCTCATTGGCACCCCCACCCTGCCCCTGCGCCTGGGACTCCCCCTTCTGCCTGCTGTAAACAGAAAGCCAGATGCTGATTATTCTAGCAGGCCCCGCGCATGCCCAGCACAGGCGGCTCAGGCCTGGCAGCCGCCTCACCCTCCCAGAGCACTGGAGGGATGCATAGGTGGACACACAGCTGCATTCGCTTAACTTTTTTTTTTTTTAGGTACTGGGAATCAAACTCAGGACCTTATGCTTGCCATGAGGGCGCCGTGCTACATCCCGGACCCCAAAGGCTGCATTTTGCTGCCACATAGGCATTTTGTGCTAGGCCCTT